GGGTCTATTTGGTTCGGCTTTTGTTTTTGTTTTTGGTGTTTTTTGTCTTTTTGTTTTGTGTAGTTTTTTTACCTTATTTGGTTTTTTGCTGAGTTCCTGCTTTTTCTATATCGGCTAAGTACTGTTCACAGATTTTAACTTATTCCGATACAATGGCATTGTTACTTCAGTAGGGCCTATACTTGATTGTATTTGGTTGGTGGTTTACTTTACACTTGTTAACGTTACATTTTGAACCTCAGAAAGATAACGTTTAGTCACAAAAACATTTCCCAATAGCTTCTCGTTTCTTAGTTGGTCTGTGTGCATATGCACTATCAAAACGACAAATGCCTGGGTACATGGTACAATTGCTGCGCATACCATTACGAGCAGATTGCGTTGTGGAATTAGAATCCATTCCTGATTGGTAAATCGGCCAGTTAGCATGGGCGGCACGAAGAACGGAGATGTGGAGAGCAAGAGGCGGATCTGGGCTAGGGGGTTTTAGTTTAGTAAAGGAAGGGAGGAGAGAAGTGGTTCCCTCTGCCTGCCTTCTTGTCTAAGTTTGTGGGTAGTCTCCTTTGGCTGCGTTGCCTGTACACACCTCGGTCTCCCTCAGTGTGCCACATCGCTGCAAACAGTAAACTCATGGATAGTACTAAGCTATGGCAGCGCTGACACTAGGTCAGACCGGGCCCGGGATTTTATACCAACGAGGTCAATGAAAGAGGGTACACTCTATCAAGACAGCTATAAATCATAACAGCTCGGTTAACATGTGTGTGTGCAAAATCCATACGAGCCCTCCACTTTTGATCTTGCTGGTCTTCGTCTAGTTCACTACACACTGCAAACAATTCAAAACCCAAGCTGTAGTTGGTTTTTTTGGGCATTAAAATAGTTCTTCTGTTTTGACTCGCAGAGGCTAGTAAGTTATTATGAGCAGCTAGTCGTTGTATTCTCACATCGTTCCTGTTGAGCTAGAAGAACATAATTAGGTGTATTAGCTGAATACTCACTGCCAGCCAGGAAAAAGCCTAATAGTCTAACCTCTATAGCACTTATGTTACTGTCTTTCGTTACTGCAATAATATACAAACATTCACTTTTGCTGTTCGGGGCTTATCCGCACTCGTAATAGCACACGTGCGCAGGAATTATGCAACAGCCCACTTTCCCACCGCTGCCCTCTGGTTGTGTAGGTTTATGTTGGCAGTCAGGGGTGCGCTTGCATGAAAAAAATGTACTGAGATAGAACGGTGCTGTTGGTTGGTAAGAATGCTAAGTTACTGTTGAGACGGCGCGGTTATTTCGCACATTGATTCAATGGGTTAAAGAGCATTATACCGTGAGAGTCCTGAAGATATATGCAGTTATGCTTGTCCGTTTGCCGGTTATGTTATTTTTTTAGTTGGGTCACCGCTTTTCCCTCGTGTCTCCTGTAGCGTTGGACGAGGGAAAAAACTTGAGAGCATCGATCGATCTGTCAGCAGTTCGTGTGTATGGCCGGAGGCTGCAAGTAAAACTGTAAGCATTACAATAATTAATATGCGATGGTCAAGTGAGGTGGGTAATAAGAGGATGGTGGTCTTGCTTTGTTTGGTGGGTGGCTATTTGATGCAGACCCATTCTTTTGGGGATTTTAGCGTGAATTGTTAGTGTGGACAGGGGTGACAATCGTTTTTTTGTGCTCAAAGGAATTATAACACGTTTGGAGAAATGAGAACCACTATGAACTTATGTATATAGTATGATATTCAGGCGCGACGGTTCCACGGTGTGTGTTTTGGAGAGAGACATATTTTCTTTTTATCCACGAGGTTTTTTTTTTTATCATGTGCATGTGAATGGCATAGGAGTGTGCAGAATATCTGATGTTTGAGTAAGCACAGGTTTGTTCGTTTAAAATACAGATTGTAGTGTGCATTTTTCAATATTTTTTACATTTGCCAAATCAAGGGGCTAACCCTCACATGCACACAAGCTATTATCTTGTATGTTTTTTTAATCTTTTGTCTTGTCTTCGAATCACTTTTTACTTTTTCGGCTGCTCAGGTAAACTAAAACATTTTTCCAAGTTTTCAGACATGACAGATATGCTATCGCTGGCAGGAAGGTGAAAGGAATTCATCACTATACAGGCCGTACCGTTGTTTTACATTATCATAGTAGAATGGTCATGTAGATTGGTGTGTTGTAGAGTGTGTGTGTGTCCGTTACGCCATCTCATCTTTCATGTATTGAGTACGATGAATAGCTCTACAGAACGCATGTATCCACGTTTATAGGTATTCAGCGGTCGTGATAAAAATATGTCGAAGTGAAAAGTATTTTGTAGTGGATTTATATGAACAAGGTACTGTGACGGGAGAGAGTTGTGGTTTGAGGGAGTGATGGATTGATGATGAATGAAAAATGGAATTAGAACAACGATTGCGGTTCGGATTAAAAGTCATGCTAATAGACAGGCATTTACCTCGCACGAGTTTTCCGTCTTATTCTCTGGTATTCTTGAAGGCAAGCAGGATAATAGTTTAACAAATGAAGGGCCGCTGTGTAATTTGACTTCCCGCGGGCTAACTAGCTGTCATGATAGCCCGTTGTTCGAGGCCTCTTCTGTGAGCACTAGCTGGTTGGGAAGATCACTAGGTCTCCCGCAGTTCTCTACCCACGTATGGAGTAAATGCACACTTAATAGTGCCCAAACCCAGGTCGCAATATTACCTCGTGTTAGCCGCACATGAGCAGTTATTGAGGGTTTGCACTTTGTTGTCTTGTTTGTCATTTTTTTAACCCTGTAGTGGCTTGTACTGCTGCTTGGTTGGAGGGAAGAGTGCAAGGGATTAAAGAGGTGCTGAAGAAGGCTGAGTGTTTGTGTAGGATATGCAGGAATAGGAAAGGAACAGCTTTCTGTGGCCGATCTAAGCTGGCGTGCACATCAAGGATGAAAATTTAAGACTTCCGGTTTCAATTTTTAAACGGGCGAGCAAATAGTTGAACTATCTAATGTCGAGGCGCCATCACTGTAGATATGATCGAACGTGCCACCTATGGCTAGTTTTTTGTCCATAAGAGAAAGGTTGAGTGTAAAGGAAAGAATAGCAAAAGTGATGTGTATAAAAGGTGTCCTAGTATGAAAGATAGGTTGTCTGTCCTCGTATTTCAAGCCGATGTCCTGATCTAGGTCATGCCTACCAATTATACCACAACACTGTATGATTACAGGAAATGTGGGAGAGGCATTAGTTAGTTAGGTGGGGTTGGGTTGTCCGACTTTGAGCAGCAGAGTGCAGCAGCGACCTCATAATGTTGAAATTCCCCCTGAGGCTTAATGTAATCGTTCAAATTGGACCATTGACCGCCACAGGAGACAAGCTGAGCACTTAGCAGTGGTGTCCTGATGAGCTCAGCCGAATCACGAGCTGTCAGAGGAATCAGGGGTTAAGATGTGACAAACCCATGTCATACAGGTCTAGACCTTCTTAGCAGGCAGTTGTTGCTGTGCTGTATGGCAAAGTGACATTGCCTTTGATTCTTGTCTTTTTTTTTTTTTGAGCCTGGAATTGTTGTGTTTAGAGAGAAGGGGAGAAGGAGGAATTTAGGTAGGTGTTCCAGGGCCGGTCGCGATTGTGGCGGACTGGTGCAGGGAATTGGAATCCAAACGGTGAGAGAGAGAGGGTGAGGTTACTTGGAGGGGTGAATGTTTTCTGTGTTGACAGTGTGATATTGTGTGTCTAGTAGTACATAATCGGTAGGTGGTTCTGTGCAGGACTTCAAAGTATCCCAGCTCAGTTCGTTTCTATTATGTGGTGGCCTAGTGTTGTGTGTTTCAATAAAAATAATACCGACCTCCTCCTATTGCATCTCTTTAAGAAAAAAAAAAAAGTCCTGGGTGTCTGTCGTGTTATGTTTTTGCCTGCCGTGATACATCGTTATTGACACATGCTTTTATAGAAACAAGAATATGTTGCTCTAGTGCTGTTTTTCACCATGGAAAAAATTGTGAGGCTGACTATATATATAACCATGTTGTGTCAGGTTCTGCCGCAGTCGGAAATGAAATAGTGATGGCCTCTGGGCTGTCCAAAGTTGTTGAGCATGTGATCATCATGTAACGATCAGTGGTGGCAGACGGGGATCGAAGGACGGGTACAGAGGAAATGGGCTGGACCGGGGGAGGGGGATGGAGGAGAAGGGAGAGGCAAAGTAGAGGCTGGGAGGTGTGCAATGGCGGGGTGTGCTGGAAAATAGAAGGTAGGGGGGCAGAAGGGGGAGAGGGTCAGAACGCGTTACGCGGATTTGGACCGTTGAAGTCCGGGAAGAGACCTCGGGATACCGATGAGCTGGATGAGAGTGTTGTGGGATTCACGCGTCAGGAGGTGGGTGCTGTAAGTTAGAAAGGGATAGGACGGGGCTCTTAGAAAGGGAGAGATAGAGATGTACCAAGCTAAATTCTGCTGCTATGATTCCTAGATTATCAAGGTGGTCACTACGATCGACTCATTCATGGCAGGTTTGAGGGATGAGTTTTTACTGGAAACATCCGGGCAATGGTTAGTGCTTACGCCATTGTAATGTTAACGAATTTCACGCAGATCTGTCTAAAAAATGGATGTCAAATGAAATAATCTGTTCTTATGTGCACATTATGACCGTTTGCCTTGTCGTGGTGTGGTGTGGCGTGCCGAATGAAAGCACTCATGCCAGTGTGATTTCTCCCTCCTCTTTAGTTCGTCGCTAGCCTATCCTCCATTGCCGCCATAGCCGAGCGCCCTGTGTCCTACGCCCGGTCTGGCGCACCCTCGCCGTCACCCCTAACACTCGTGGGCCCGCGCGCCCGCCGCCGCAGCCCGCGCGGAGGGAACAGACCTGCCCCGCCCCGCCCGCCCGCGCCCGCGGAGCCAACCCGAGCCGCCCGGGCGCGCGCGCCCCCACAGGGCACTCGACGAGGTTAGGACCGGACAAGGGAACCGCCAGAACGAGCAACATGCGAGCAGGGAAGTGGTACGGCGCTGCACTCCCTGAGATGGGGAAGATCGTGACTGACAACCTCACCTATTGCAGGACTGTCAAGGCAATCGGTCAGAACCACCACACCACACACACACACACACACACACACATACCCGCATTTTACATACTGTCTGTTCATACCTAGATATTTTGGTTGTTGAATGCTGTGTTGGGCCTTGGCTTGTAGACAAATGTTGCACTTGTTTACTGGTTTTTCTATTAGCATACTAATGAGGGGTATGTACCTATTTTGTGTGGACGTGTGTGTAGGGATGCGCAGTGAGATCAGTGAGGCAAATCTGTCGAAAATACTGCCGGAAGAGGTGGAGGAAGAGGTTCGACAGGCTGCCGAGATCTCCATGGGCACAGAGGTACTACATACCACACTGTGCACTGCCTACATGTGTACACTGTATGTTGTACATCAGGGAGGAGAATGGTATGTGATCTTCTTGTGGTCTGTCTATCAGCAAAAGAGTAGGAAGTGTGGATCCTCTACTTGTGAATACTTGGTCCGTTAGTGTGTCTGTCTGTTACCACGTTTTCTGCAACCACACTCAACAAGACAACGAAGGAGCGATACCAAAAGGTTCAGCGCTACACTGGCCTGATTTTAAATTTGGCGAATTTCGAGTACTACGTTCAAGAGATATGGCGTGAAAACCTAGTGATAATGCCAGTATGCAAATTAGCACTGGCTGTATATACCTCAACCAGATCCGCTTGCTCTGTGCATCTTGAAAGCACAAGAAGTCACAACGAAGGGCGTGTATCAACTCCCGCATGCTATCTACTACTTTAGCTAGCCCGTGTCAGACTCTCCGCAGCTACTAGCGGGAGACCACGAGTAAACGCATACTATTATAACCCAACCCAGCAATTAGGAGTATCATGCATGCACATTTCGCCGAGGGTTTGCACTTTAGTGCTTTTCATTTGTATAAGTAGCAGGTCTCTTTGTCATGGGTAAGTGCTGGCTTTATTCGCCAGGTAGAGTTATTCTTTTGAACAATGATGTGTGTATAGAGCTCACTGTACATATCCAGCAGGCCGCATGGGCAATCACACTGTCCACTCACTAAACTAACCCCATCTGTTTACCCGTATCAACTCGCTCCCATACCTTCACCACCCACCATTTTTGCCCCCTCCCCCCCCCTCATTTCTCTCTTTATCAGGTGTCCGAAGAGGACATAGAGAACATAGTATTCCTGTGTGACCAGGTCATTGAGATATCAGACTACAGAGCTCAGCTATATGACTACCTCAAAACAGGTGAGAGAACTCTGCCCACCGCACTGGCAGAACAGTGGTGTGTGTGCTAGCATACAGTGGCGGAGACTAGACGCTAAAACTACGTCCCTTTTGTCACACCTTTTTAGTACCACGTAATACTATGTGCAATGTACACTTCTACGTTGTTTATCAACGTTCGGGTAACTACACACCGTACTACTAGCTAAATGGACGGTTTACCACCAAAATCATTACAATAATATCAGCACAATATTGAAGGGTGTGCGCCGTGCCACATACCATTACTATGCCACGCATATTTGAGAGTTCAAAGTGATTTGCCGTTGATAAAATGACTGTCGTGATGGACTGTGGCACTCATGGCATGTCGAACTAAGTCTTTGAATCTTAGCCTGATATACCATAATACTGTTCTTCCACGGGTGTATGTAAGTTGCGTCTTATTAGCAGTGCCTTTCACACACCATGGTGGTGTTTTGTCGATTAGAGAAAAATTACGTGCTGTATATATAATTACTAGGAATGCGCACGCCCATATTTTGCCTCGCGCCTGCCAGCCAATGCGTAAACAGTGCGACTGAGGCCGCTCGTGCGCGCACTCTACTGACTGCACGCGAAGCCAGACTTCCTACGAATCTGCGCACACGGCAGAAGCTAGACTTCCTACGAATGACGGAAAGTTGACATTCCTAAGCGTGACTAATTACATTCTTAAGCGTGACGACGCGTACATACGCATATCACGAGAATACAACCCGGAGTAGTAGCCTCGCGCTAATGCGCTCGGCAATTATACCTCAAACGTTGGGTGGTATGCGATGATGTGTACATGTTTACCCATTGACATGTGTACACTTGCAGGATGATGGCCATAGCACCGAACCTGACTACAATGGTGGGTGAGCTGGTTGGAGCAAGACTGATAGCCCACGCTGGGTCCCTCCTCAACCTCGCAAAACACCCTTCCTCCACCGTACAGATACTGGGAGCTGAAAAGGCTCTCTTCAGGTATTGTATGTACAGTACCGTATTATGGGGAAACCCACATGTGCGTGTGTGCGTGCACACGTATGCTTTGGAATGCTAAAAGCATGGCAAATGCTGACTGGCAGATTTTGTGATCCAAACCATGAGGGTAAGCTACTCGCTTGTTGATCCTATTTTTGCACCAGTGTACAGGGTCCTAAACGTTAGGTCTATTGTGGCCTTACTGTAGCCACTAGCTACTAAGCTGGAAGGTGTGCTGTAGTGTATATAGATGACTGCTATTTGTACACCTACCACATCTCCAGAGCCCTCAAGACTAAACACGACACACCAAAGTACGGCCTCATCTACCACGCCTCCCTGGTCGGACAGGCGGCTCCCAAGAACAAGGGCAAGATCAGTCGGATGTTGGCGGCTAAGGCCTCCCTGTGTGTCCGTGTGGATGCCCTGGGAGATGAGGCGGAGCCATTGATGGGGATTGCCAGTCGGGCCATGGTGGAGGCGAGGGTGAGGCAGTGTGAGCAGGGCCAGCTGCGGAGGGTCAGTGGGACGGGGAAGGCCAGGGCCCAGGCTGAGAAGTACACTCCAAAGAGGTAGGTATGTACATATGTGACTGCTGACTTGCACGATGGACTGTAATGACATAGCAGTGACCATGTATACCACAATCATTATGTGGGGGAGTTTGCACATTACCATACTGAGAGTCAACTATGCATGAGCGTTTTAGACCCTAACTACGTTGATTCTTTAACTCATTGCGCGCGTTAATGCGCATGCGTGGAATTACCGCGTCCGCGTGGTTTTTTTCGAGTTCGTGCGTGCCGTTTTGTTTGCGTGTTTATACTTGGTGTAGGCCCGCAGACAAAGCCCAGATTCGTTCTTCGTGTGTTAGAAAGCCTAGTGTCATCTTAGAGCCGCAAGGAGGCCACGTTTCCATGGCAGATCTGCATTCATCGCTCTTAGATGCGTATTATACGCGCGGAAGGTGTGGCAGCTGCTGCGCACACCAGCCCCGCCTTTTATTTTGTACATGCGCAAACTGTGCGCCCACTCAAAGGTCAAAGGTGTAGCAAGGTCTGGCTGTGCCAGCGACTAGCGACGGCAACTAGGACGAAGAGAGTAGTGAGTGTTCCTACGCGTCTATATATATGCCGATCGCGTTGGCTAACATCCGCGTAACGAATCTATATATAGATCCGCCGCGCGCAATGAGTTAAAGTAGTGAAATTCAAACATGCTAGCTGCTGGATGCCAAGAGTGGTAGCTATTAATATCGTAAAGGAATTATGTGGAAAGGTGTAACCGGACTGGCTAGCTTCGGGACTTGTCCGTGTGTTTTGAAAACAGATGAACTCCATTGGTCATGCAGTTTAACCCTTGTATGTAGCTGTGTGATGCCGACATGTGTACCCGATAATTCTCAGGGGTTTGTATAAGATTTGCCGTTTGTGTGAACTGACGTTGTAGAATTGCCAGCACTACTAGAAATTAACTTTCCACAGTACACCCAAGCAGTACAACGAGGCAGCAGACTTTACTCTCTCTGGAAAGAAGAGGAAACGAAGCAAGTCAGAGGGAGACCCTGGGGTAACGAAGACTGAGGGAGAGGAGGGAGTCACATCGGGGAAGAAACGGAAGCGAGCCGAGAGCGAGGCAGTGGGGGAGGGTGGGGGAGAGGAGGAGAAGGTAGTTACACCCTCTGGAAAGAAACGCAAACGAGAAGTGGGTGAGGGAGGGGAGGAGGAGGCTGGAGAGGGAGAGGGAGAGGAAGGAGAAGGGGAAGACAAAACTCCATCAAAGAAGCGGAAGAAGGAAAAGAAGAAGATGAAAAAGGAGCGGGATTTTGACTTTGGCCAGGGCGAAGAGGATGTTGCTGAGACTCCAGTGAAGACAGAACCTGAAGAGACAGAGGTGAGCAGTGGGTGACGCGCTCAGAAAGCTTTGCACGGAGAGGCGGTAGACGGGTGGTCAATGACGGCGCTCGACCCTGCCATGGGGAGACGGTATCACCAGACGCGCTCATCGAGGTCTAGTCTGTGTTAGCAGGCGATGATCGCCCCGCTCGGCCCCGCAGCTGGAAAACGGCTCACTTTCGGCAGCTTGTTCGGCGATTGCATTCAACAGTCAGCGCAGTTTGCGACCACTGTAATCGACCGGCGAGTAATAAATAACGACAGAATAAGCCGACAAGCTAGATGACCGAGCGTGCTTCACTGGCTCGACCGCAGTCCGCACTACTGAAACAGGTGTCTTTGTGAATATATACGCATTCAACGTCAAAGCTATTTTCTAATACTTCACTGGCTCCACCGCAGTCCGCACTACTAAGACGCTTGAAACAGTTGTCTTTGTGAATATATACGCATTCAACATCAGAGCATTCCATGCTATTTTCTAATGCTTCAGTGGCTCCACCGCAGTCCACACTACTAAGACGCTTGAAACAGGTGTCTTTGTGAATATATACGCATTCAACATCAGAGGTAAACATTTTACGAAAACAAACGGTCCCGGGCAATGAAAACTTAACGCCACAAATGTTGTGGATTTTGCCTCAAAACATAATTTGTTAATGCCGAATGCAAAAGGGAAAGAACACGTATAGGTTGCAGCACTTGGTCTACAGGAGTGCCCAGTTTTGATATGGCACGAGGCAGCAGCCCAAGTGGTCTATCAAAACTGAAGCCACGAGTGTGCAACCAGTAGACCACAAGCCAAAGCCATCATATAACGTGTTTGTATGATGACATCCTGCGATAAGGCCCTGACCAACATTTTAACGCACACCACCTCGTGAAAATGCGGAGAGAGCTAGCTAGCAAAGAGAGACGGCTGCGATAAGCACTTTAGTCCAGCTGCGCAGTTTTGACTCATAAGCAACAACGGGTATATGTCAGAGCTATTTTTTCGCTGCTGGACCCAACGCGTAAGTTTTACAGCTGCCCCTCTGGCTCGTTTTTTTTCCCGCCATGCCTAGCGCTCTCGAATGCAAGCAACGGCCATTTCTCGAGAGTTCAAGCTATTTTTTTCGCTGCTGGAAATTTTTGCTATCCTATAACTACCATACACCCACTGTGGTTTATGCAAGTTGACATAGTATGGGGAAATGTATGGCCTCTGTATGGTATAATGAAAAGCACTGAAGTGCAAGGTTACTAAAAGCAAGCATTCTTTCACTGTGTCCCTGTTGTTTTTAGTAACAATTATACTGCCACATTCCCTTTAATTAAACTCCACTTGGACTCTATAAGGGTGTTGGTTACTCAGTATATAGTGTTCTGAGTATTGTAATGGTCAATGTTTAATACTTCACCTAGGCAACAATATAGGGATTGTGTGATGGGGTTGGGGGTGTCAGCATACTCATTAACCATGCTTCATGTATCCCATCCCTATCTTGTCTCCCTTTCTTTTTATACCATCCCTTTATGCCTCTTTTTTAAATTCACTGGATTTTTAATTTACTTGTCTCCACTCATTTTTATAATATTACTACGTATTATCTCTGTGGAAGGGGGCAAGCCCCTATAAAAATTAATAATAGAGAATAAAGGCCTGTTGACGTCATGGAAATGATATGTATACCACGATTCATCTCCATGTGTGCTGCAGTTAGCAAGTTTGAAGTAATTTTAAAGAAAAGTGCCTGAGGCTATTTGTGGTTGTGGTTGTCATGGAAACGATGTAATACACATGCGCACCAAGTTTCACCTCCATGCGTGCTACAGTTAGCAGGTTTGAGGAGTGAAGAAGTAATTTTTACTCATTGCGCGCGTAAATGCGCATGCGCGGAATTACCGCTTCCGCGTGTTTTTTTAGAGTTCGCGCGTGCCGTTCTGTTTGCGTGCTTATACTTAGTGTAGGCGCGCAGACGAAGCCCAGATTCGTTCTTTGTGTGTTAGAAAGCCAAGTGTCATCTTAGAGCCGTAGGGAGGCCACGTTTCCATGGCAGATCTGCATTCATCGCTCTTAGATGCGTACTATACGCGCGGAAGGTGGGGCAGCTGCTGCGCACACCAGCCCCGCCTTTTATTTTGTACATGCGCAAACTGTGTGCCCACTCAAGGTCAAAGGTGTAGCAAGGTCTAGGCTGTGCCAGCGAGTAGCGACGGCAACTAGGACGAAGAGAGAAGTGAGTGTTCCTGCGCATCTATATATATCCCGATCGCGTTGGCTAACATCCGCGTAACGAATCTATCCGCTGCGCGCAATGAGTTAAGGAAAAGTGTCTGAGGCTATTTGTTGTTGTAGTTGTTATGGAAACTATGTAATACACATGCGCGCCAAGTTTCACCTCCATGCGTGCTATAGTTAGCGAAGCGAGTTTAAGGAGTGAAGGAGTAATTTTAAAGAAAAGTGCCTGAGGCTATTTGTTGTGGTGGTCGTCATGGAAATGATGTAATACACGTGCGCACCAAGTTTCACCTCCATGCGTGCTACAATTAGCAAGTTTGAGGAGTGAAGAAGTAATTTAAAGAAAATTGAGGCCTTTTCGAACAATATGCGGTCGTCATGGAAACATGTAATCGTCATGGAAATGATATTATAGGCATATGTACCAAGTTTCATCTCTATGCGTGCTGCCATTGGAATGTTTGAGAAGTGAAGAAGTTAATGTAAATAAAAGTGCCTGAGGCTCTTTGTTGTTATTTACAAACATGTATTGTTGTTGGCTATTGAATACATTGTGTATACCTCTTACCAATTGTGAGTTACACTGACACATGTAGTATGCCTATTATAATGTATTGCCATTATAATGTATTGCCTGGGGAAATTTTGTTGTTTACAGTAAACAGCATTTTTTACAAACACAAAAGTATGACGTTGCACATGTGGTTATCGATATGTGCGTTCCTACAAAATTTCATGGCTTTATCTCTTTCGGTTTTTGAGTTACGCTGGTTTAAGAAGAAGAAGAAGAAGATGATGATTAACAAAACTCCCTATCATAGCTCCGTACATCTATGATGCTAGGTACCATGCCCATCCCTATATACTAAGTACTACCGTACTTAGTGATAATTATACATGAAATTATAGTTCATAGCATACCAGCCATAGGTATAATGTTATACATAATTAGAGCACACTTGCTTCACGACAACAATAGAGCTAAGTTCAAAGTGGGCAAGAAATGGGAGTTTGATGTACAGTATGCAGCTGTCATTAATTTATTACTTTATCAGGTTATTCTTCGTTATTCTTCACCATTTATTGGTCATTGTCTTTCCATGCAGTAATAATATTTCTATCAGTTTCATGGATATAGCGCTCCGTATATTCTGGATTTTCTGTGCTGGGGTCAAATTTGTAGGCCGTAACTTTTGTTTTAGAAAACCCTTCTTCTGTGAGTGCTTTGCAGATGACATCATGAGGCCAAATATATCGTATGAAATTAAAATCATTGCTCACTGAATGAATCTTTCTTGGTAGAAGCTTGTTACTTGATTGGGGGTCAAAATGGAGAACACTTTCTTGCTGAGATTCTAAAGCTTTGTAAAATTCCTTTTCATTCGCTCCAGCAGAACAAACTATTATGGCACACAAGGCACCGGGTTTAACATTCAAACTTATTGTTCGGACCATAGAACGTAGCTCATCATAATTTTCTGCAAAACAAAAGAGATGAACACAAGAGCAGACCTCAGCTAACGTGTTTGAAAATCTCTTAGGAATTCGGGCATCGTGAACATGGTATTCAACAAAACCTTTCAGGTACACCATTCTCCTTGTCCCTTTTCTGTGATATGTCAATCAGTAAGGGAATCAACTCAATAGCAATAACCTTTGCTGCGCCTTTTTTGAAATATTTTCGCACATAGTCTCCTGGTCCGCAGGGTAAGTCTAAGATGACCATATCCTTGACGGGCATGTAGAGGTCTAAGTTATAATTATGCAGGGTACCCACGAATTTCTGACACATCTCACTGTAGACACGCATTTTTTCCTCATCATAGTAGTCCTTCAGAGTAGCCATGGTGGGTTCCGCAAAAGGCAGCGAATTGGCGAGCGGGAGCGAGCTAACTTAGTTGTCCGAACGCAGGGGTGCGGATAGCTAGCCTGTTATGCTTTTATACCCGGTAGTCAGACGTGCAGAAATTTTACCCCGTTACGTTGTTACGCCCCAGACGCTCGCACGGTTGTAGAACGAGGCTATCTCTCGTGGAAACGAAGAAGACAGGCTCAACGAAGGTAATAGGTAAGCTTTTAGCATCCTTGGTGGATCAACTGGGGGGTGGCCATACGTTCGCGTAACGCCCGGATGGATCATGATCGGAGCCGGACCTCGTCTAGGATGCTTGCCGCCCGGATGGAGTATGATCGGAGCCGGACCTCGTCTATGGCTAGGGCATCGACAGACTCAACCAATCGATGCCCTAGACGAGGTCCGGCGCCGATCATGATCCATCCAGGTAGCAAGCATCCATGATCCATCCCGGCGGCAAGTTACCGAGTGCGCGCGCTTGGTGGGTGGGCGTGGCCTTAATTACTCAGCGCGCGTGGAGTGATCTTGGGCGTGGCCGGAAGTCGTTGCGCGCTGGGTCCGTTCTCTACACTTGATGTTGTGTCTGTCGATACTCCGCCTCATGAGTCATGATCCATCCGGGCGTTACGCGCACGAATGACCACGCCCCTACGTTGCATATGCGTTGCGCGTCGAGGTGCCGATTATTATGATGACTGATAAATTTCTAGGGACCGCTGGGTATAGCGGGAGAGAAAGCGAGCCAGACGGGGGCAGCTACAAACCTTGCGCATGGGGTCTGGCAGCGATAAAGAATAGCTTTGACATACCTGTAACGTTGAACTCTCGAGAAATACCCGTGGCTTATGCAAAACCGCCAAGCTGGACAAACTAAAGCGCTTATTGCAGCCGTCTCTCTCCCGACCGGTTGCAAGCTCTCTGCGCACTCGAGGGTGTGAGTTAAAAAGGGGGTGCTTTTGCGCAATCTCCATTGGTCAGACAAACACATTATACGATGGCTTTGCTTGTGGTTTGCTGGTTGCACACTCGTGGCTTCAGTTTTGTTAGACCACTAGCTCGGGGCTGCGCCATCGTGCCGTATCAAAACTGGTCACTCGTGTAAAACCAGTAAATCACGCGCCGCCATCGTATAACCTCTACTTGATCCTCGTTGTCACCCTAGCTCCTCGTTAGGCAGTTGTTTTTTTGACGGCCCGTAAATTTCTCCGCGTGTATAGCGCTCGTTCCGGCACGCGTGGAGGTCGACTTAGCCTCAAGCGTGTTACGAAGCGGACAAAAACGTTAATTTAGAGCTGGGTAATTTAAATTGCGCAATCTGATTGGTCCGTGCGGGACTCTAATTCGATTAGAGCGAATTTTCCGGACTCTAAATAAACTTTCTCCGGACTCTAAATTTGGCGCATGCGCAATGGCTCACTTACGTTGGGCGGAGTGTCCCCCAACGGTCTGCGAAGGTACGTAGAGGCGAGCCCGTTGTCGACGTCCTCCCTGGGCCTCTCGCTCGACTTTCCAGCAAGAAAGCAGCGCTCGTTCGCGGTTTCAGATGCACCGAATTTGAATTGCGCGCACGCGTTGCCATAGCTCTAAACAAGTTAGACACCTCGTCCATGGAAACTACGCGCATTAGAGCGCCTTGGGGGCCCTTAGTAGCGTCCTCGCTGCGCTCGAACGCCGACAGCCCGGGGCCCCGCGGCTCTCTAATGCGCGTAGTTTCCTGGACTCGGCATCTTAGATAATTCCGGTATGCGTTGCTTAACTCCCACGCAATGAACCGCGCTCCGCTTTGCCTAAAACAGAAGCGTTCCTCGATCCCTGGACGCTACGCAAGTTTTAAAAAACGGTGCAGTTCAACGTTTCCCGTACGAATAACCTTACGTTTAACGGATTATAACAACTGCGCAATAATATCTTTTACCGAAACCTACCGCGCACGCTCTTTTCAGCTACACCCACAAACAGCTGCGTGGGTGTCGAAGTTTTGTCCGAGCTACTGTGCGTAAAAGGAAGTTCTTCTTCACCCATATACTCCACACATGTGAAGCCATACCCATCAGCTGTCCGTAGCAAGAGTCCCAGTTCTGGTGCGTTTTTTCCCCGTTAAAATATGGACCAATGATTATACATTATTGTAAAACAGTAAAGTATGGAAGAAACAGCAGAGAATCACACAGAGTTACTAGGAAAGCATTGTAGGGTGTGTGCAGGGAGGCTTCAGCAGGCAAAGAGCAGGTCCACCTCTTTCTTGTGCACCAGTCACAGAGTGCTTTTGGTATTGAGGTTGAGAGAGATGACATCAAACAGCACCCCTTCTGTAATAGCTGTTATAGAAAAATGATGAGAGTGTTCACACATAGAGCATCATCAACACCATACGCACCAACTCTTGGAATTATTCAACTGGACACCCCACATGACGGAAGCATGCCCTGTGAGAAAATTAACCTTACTGCATATACAATTGCGCGCTACATAATACACAGGTATGCGACCATTTCTGCAAGCTTGCACGTGGAGGTATATAGGGGGAGGAAATACGTGGCGAGAGGGAGACCAAGAGGACTATATAACGCCAAAGGCTGTGATTTACCCACATCATGCAATGAGATCGTTCCGGAGCCCCTACCAACATGCAGCAGCACTACACCTCACTCGTCTCTCATGTGTCCTGTGTGCATGGAAGTGCTGATGTCACCAGCCAGTTCCTGGGCCACTACAGGACCTCATTCCAACAGTGATACATCTCCTAGAGGATCACGTGCTTCCGTGGCTGAGGCAATGGAGGTGTGGCTCGGGATTGATGGGAGAACAAGGAGCCAAACAGATCCACTCGCACTTCCGCCACTTGGAGAACTCCTACAGATGAATCAAGGATCCACTGCAGCGACTGAATTACATCATGCACCAACACATGCTGCAAACGGCCACAGAACTGCCCCCAGTCAAAAGGAGGAAGAGTTGCTGAGTCCGACAAACATTACGTACATAGTGCACTTACCGAGCACGTCTTGTCCCACATAAAAAATGCACCGTCTTGACTTGAACTGTCCCTTCCAGAGGTGGGATAAAACGTTCTCGCAGTACAGGCAAAAGCGCAGGAAAAACTTCCCGTGGGTAGAAAACCGGCGTCTAATACGAACAACACCGCTGCCGAATGGACACGTGTTACTCAAAAACCGCTTGGGCTAACTTCACCGGACAAAGACGGGGGCCACTACTGGGCCATGTGCTAGGGTCTAAAAGGTCGAATGGAGCGTGTTTTCAAATCGAATAGGGCCAAACATTCCGCCTGTAAAACGGTTGCTAGGACGTTGCTACGGACATGTATGCGGGGGAAATATTTCAGGGGTGTGTCCGAATGTCCGCGAAATGTATTGCGTGAAACACGCGTGGCCTATATATACACTTCGAGGCGCCGCCACGGCCCTGGTGAGCGAGTTTCGACGCTCTAAAGTATATAGCTGTCTTATAGATACTTGATAGATGTCCTTCTCCGTTAAAAATGTCTGGAATCCCGTGTTACCGCTGTTTCCACTTGGACTCTATACTGCTTTTTTGATGAACATGCCCCAATTACCCTACTGTAGGACTACTTCAAAAAGGTTGAAGAACTGTATGCAGTCCATACCAACCACGCCTTGCTTGCTATACTACCAAATTACAGTACTGCGTATCAACACGTAGGCCGCCGCATGCATAAAAGGGGCCGGGACAACACCCTTCCTCTATGTGGGCGCCATTTGTGTCAAAACCACCACCGTTTATTCATGCACACTTTTACTCAAATATCGCTGATGTTTGTTATATATTTGTAGATGTTTATTTGATATCGCCGATGTTTATTGCCGACGGACACCTGGTTGCCAGCGACTTTACGAGCATATACACCTACGGATCACCACCGATAAACGTTGTTGATGTTTAACAAACTGGTTCGACGTTTATAAATGTCTTCGACGTTTAGCAAACTTTCACAAACATGCGGTCACCTGGCGATATTACGTCGACATCCACAAACATCTCCGGCCACCGACGATATTTACAAACACCATCTAAATTTAGTAACATCTACGGTCACCGGAATCCCACGGAGATGTTTGTGAATGTCGACGATGTTTGTAAAATCGCCGTGGTGACCCGTAGATGTTTGTTGTCTGACAAATACGCTCGTAAAGTCGCTGGCAACCAGGTGTCCGTCGGCAATAAACATCGGCGATATCAAATAAACATCTACAATATATAACAACAAACATCAGCGATGTTTGAGTAAACGTGTGCATGAGTAAACGGTGGAGGTTTTGACACAAACGGCGCCCCATATTCCTCCGCATGCTGAGTTAGCAGTAACGCTAAAAACAACCCTAAACGCACGCCCGGAGATGGCCTCTTTCCCGAGCCCTTTAAGTAAGGGCTAGGTACAGTTGCTTTTTTTGGGCCACAAATCCCATCGTAGAAAACTTCATTGTAGAGACTTCCGTTCTAACCCTCACTGCTAAATCTAGCTAGAGCTCAAGTTCTGGCGGGATAGCTGAGGTAGTGTTGCGGCATTATAATAATCACACAGTGTGGTATGAAAGTGGTATGAATTAAATGTGCCACTGCATGATTTATCCCCTTATTGTCAGATCCTAGAGTACACGAATTTGTGCTCTGATCACTTATATCCAGGAAACATTGCTTGGTTACCTTAAGGTTACTATTAATTGCGGGTACTAATTTTAGTGAATTTAGCGGGAATCAGCAAAACCGCTAAATTAATGCGCGCTAATAATTGTGCCGAAATGAAAATTCGCTTAAATAGAACAAAAATGTTAGACATAAATCTTCATCGGAAGAGCCCGAGTCATCTTCATTGCCCTCTACTGGCGTGTGGTTACCTCGAATCACCGTCTAACGAGTGAGCGCTTCATGTTGAGCGCTCTGTCTTTCCTGTTCGTTCGTATGGCGGAGCACTTCTAACGACAACTCGATGGAGACAGGCTCAGAGCGCCAGAAAATGCAGTGCAAGAACAGCGAAGCGGCAGAGACACCGGTAGCGACTCCACCTTCTTTTCTGGTTGTGCGCGTGACGGTGCGTGCAGGGGGGTCTGTGCGTGTGCGTGGACGACGCGTCTCATTGTACCCCGGGGGTAGTGCCCTCGCTGCGCTCGGTGCGCCACAATGCCGGGGCTCTCGGTTTTCTACTGCGCGTAGTTACCTCGAATCAGCGTCTAACTATTATTCAGTAATCCACTGTACTCTCATGGTTTCTTAATACCAGGTGAGATGTGTATTGATTAGAGGAAGAGGGATATGTATTTAATGCCTGTATTAGGTAATTTGACATCTTTAATTTGTGACTAAAACACAGAGGCATTGGGCTTGCTTGCTAGTCACTGGGTGAAATCATTTATCAATTGTCATCATCATACATATTGTGCATACACTTATTTTTATTACATTATGGAGACACAAATCGCTAAAATTAGTATACGCCAAAAGTGCTCGGTGCAAAAACGCTAAAATTAATACCCGCAATTAATAACCTTAAGGTATATTATTTGTTCCAGACATGATACATGGGTTAAAGGTTTAAACTTACTGTACACTTGTAGCTCAATGTTCCATAAGTTAGATAATGCTGTGTTGGTCCTGAGATCTACCTGTTGGGACAAGGTTTCAGAAAGTTGTTTTTAGTTTCTCCATGACTTCCAACTTCCATTTTGAGCTGACTTCCATTCTGAACCAACTTCCAAGTTCAATTCTGTTCGATTCTAAGCTAAGCGGCAGTACGCAGGTAGAGACGAGACTCTGAAATGCAAGAAAATTTTCTCAAGGTGTTGTTAGAGAGAGGTTCCGCTGTAATGTTGTTGTATTATGGTATATTGTATCGTATAGTCATTAATTATTTCTACCACTCCACACTGCAGACACCGGTGAAGTCAGAGAAGAAAAAGAAGAAAAAGAAAGCCAAGCAGGAGTCTGAATGACCACAACAATCACAACTATGATTGCATTTTTCTTGTGCCATAACAGTAATTTTGTACATGTATACATACATATAATATGACATCGTTCTCTCAGTCCACACGTTTTATGCACAAGCTCTTGCTATTGAGCAAACTGACTGTGAAGTGAGAAGGAGAGAATTTGCAGGGAACACTCACATGGGATTACTCATCCCCCACTTGAAAAATGCATGGTTCAGAACCTAAAACGGTTATCCAGCACTCAAAAGCCTAATAGGATATATACCATGTACTAGCTTCTGCCGACTGAGATCCACACTCAGTGGGAACCTCCTGGGACCCTCCGCGATATTGGGATGACCTCATATACAAACTTTCAACTCCATGCTATATAATACTTTTGTGTACTATAGAGATAGGGATGACCTAGCTCTCTATTATAGAAGGGACAAAATCACTGGCCCCATATATTATATAATTATAGTCCCTTGTTCAGAGTGTCCACTGTCCAGAGCATTTGATTGGTAAGCCTTGTATAATTATATAATAGGGGTTTAGCACATCGCACATTCTCGTCAACAACAGTGAAGGAGCCAAAACAACTGAACACCCACGAGGTCAATTTCTGTCCATGCTATATAGGAACTGCTGTCGCCCTACCTCGAACATGACCACATTCTTCCATGAATACAAGTTTGGCAGAGTGCTGCCAACCTGATTGCACCCTGTCCAGTGTAACATCCACGCACCGCATTCAGCTACTGTATAAACCTGGTCACTTTGAATCAAGGACAACTACATAATTAAGGACGTTTCAACCAAGTGCTAAACTCAACATTAGGGTCACATCACTGTATTCATGCTCCCAGGCCTGGTCAGTATGTATAATTATACACATAACCTTCATTTTAGAGGTTCCAAAATAAAAGGCGCACGGGGCTCATAATAAAAAAAAAAGTGGACGCTTTCGCTTTGTCTTAAACTTTAGTACCAATTAAAAGTTGAATATTAATCTTGCAACATTCCTATTACATGAATAAGGGCACACAAGAACAATGATAAATAATACTATTGCATCAGAGAAAATTTAGGGCTATGTACAGCAAATTTGAATAATAACAATAATACCTAGTGACAGGGAGACTACTGTAACACACACACACATAAATTGACAATAATACAACAGTTTTGGTACAGGGCCATAAAAAGGCATCCTTGTGCGTTGTGATACAAAACTTCTTGTTAGGCAAACATGCAGAGATTTCTTATGACATCACTTTTTATATACACGCACTTTTGGCAACGATCCCACATGGCTAGCCTGTCATGAACACACCCACACACACAGACAAGACAGATACATGATGAGTCATTTGTACAACTCTTCTATCACACAACTGAGTTATGTATAGTATCACGTAACATTAACACAGATTTTTACACAAAACTGAGAAGAGAGATATACAGGTGACACAATTATACAGCAATTACTGATAAAGAACACACACAAACAAGACTTGTATACACATACACAATAGTAACAGGTAAATCAGGGGAAACAGGGTTACAAAGTCTTCACAAAAACAGAGTATTGTAATAGACAAAGACAAGAAGAAAAAGTGCAATAAAAGTTTACACAGTGTTTGGTGTGTGTGTGTGTGTGTGTGTGCGATGAGACCTTTTTGATAGATTAATTTACACAGGGACACCTGAGGAGGGAGAGGATAAGGAGACAATTAATGGTACAATAGCTTGTGACACGCAGTGGTTAAGATGTACACATAAGAGATGGCTATAGAAAAATCTGTTGGACCTTCAGTTCAGTAGAAGGCTTGCACATTTGGCTAAGGTCATTAGGCAACAATACATCACGATTGTTCAAAATATTGAAAATGTAAAGAGATAGTAGTATAGTTGCAATATTGGCGAAGTCTATCAAGTGGCAGGATGAAGGGCTAAAATTAGAACATGTTACTAAAAACGGCAACATTTCACTGGGAGCTCCCATATAATTTGTCTGAATTTTCTATGCAACCAAAGCCTCTGCCACTTGACAATGCACATCCACGAGCATCACGTACAGTAGTTTGACGGTTTCAGACTTGCTTGCGTTCGCTCACCAAAATTAGTGGTTGTATAATAATATTATAGTACAACAGCCAACCTAGCAGTGGTAGTGGATGTCAAGAGGACACACGGGAGGAGGAGGTGATTAGGAGGAGACGACAGGGTCAGGAGAGGTGGCCCCGCTGGACGAGGGAGGGGACTGGGGGAGGGGAATACTAGCTGCCAGTTCACCTCTACTGCCACACCCACCACCGCTCTCCTGGGGAGTCGGGTGGTGTTTGGACGGGGTGTGTGGGTGGGGAGGACGCGAGTCTGAGTCTGGGCTGCGGCGAGACGCATCCCTCCCTCCACCACTTGTACTGCTACTATTACTACTGATACTACTGCTGCGTTCTGAACCTCCGGCAGCCGTTGAGGAAGACGAAGCAATCTGTTCCTTGTCCCTATTATTAGTAGCACTGCTAGTCTCAGTTCCTCCACTGCTGGTTCCTCCACTAGAGGCCGGCGTTGTTCCACTGGCTGCGTTGTTTCCGTTTGCGTTAGAGTTCTGTTGTGAGGGTAGTTTAGGTGGCAGTGGTGCGGGTGCCTTCTGGGCCATCTGTGCATAGCTCAGTCTCCCGCCATCTGTCTTTGCCCCGCTGGTTGAGCTCGACAAAGAGGTTGTTGACGACAGGGACGCCCCCTCGTTGGTACTAGAGGCGGTCGTGGAGAGGGAGGGGCCAGAGTTGGGGTCAGATCTGGGATTGTTGGTCGTGTTGGTACTCAGAGTCTTGTCTGTCGGTGGAGTGGTGGGTGGAGGAGGCGGAGCCTGTTTACGGAGAGGCTTGGGGGATGGTCGTGACTGGCTCCTGTAATTATTGCCTCCCGGTCGCTTGCCGTCTCTGTCTCGGTCGCTACGATCGCGGTCTTTGTAACGTCCCCTGGAAACACAAACAAACATTACTATTATTCTGGCATTATTATTTAACAAAGCTCGGTGTTTAGAGATTAGCTCAGTCTGATAGCTTGATGTCGCCTTCTATAATACTGGCAACCACTACGAGGTCGGAGATGTCTAATTTTGCTGGCATACAGTAACCTACAATATATAATTATAGTCTGTATTTTCCCATCTTCATACAAACACACTGTCTGCATGACTAATGCAGTTTGTCCTATCAGGCACAATGTGTTGGAAAAAGAAGCACAGGTTTAAGGGCATACAAATGCACCACTGAGTTATCTGAGCTCATCCTCAAGCTGCAGCATAATGCATCGGACAATGAACAAAAAGAACTCCATTTGCACACATTATTTGTCACATGAATGTGTGGTGTACATGCCACTTCTCCATTACACAACACAAATGGACACTAAAACTACACCTTCACATGTGCACCCTCAGTGCACATGCTGGCAAGAGCCCAGGTATGTACAACATGATTGAGGCATACACTGCATGTACATGTTTTGGGATGTACTACATGTGAACCATTCACGTTGAGAAGGCATGTTGCTTTTCTTGAATAACGTCATTACTCTAATGCGCAGTGCTTGGTGTCAATTTGTAGCCTTTAAAAGTTCCCTTGGTCTTGGTTTAAGAAGGCTCCTTCTCAATGTACGACAAAGTGCGTTCTCAACTTGAACACATATATGTACTGATACGTACCTTCCAGTGGAAGGAGGACGACCTTCTACTCTATTGAACACCTGTGACCTCTGTGGGAAAAGAAGGCATGCATGTAACACAAACATAATATCACGTCACCCTACGTCGTCTAACTGCGCATGCATTTGAATTATGTGCTTCTTTTATCCGAAATGATTTTTACACGTTGCCTAGATCCTCGATGCGCGATCCAGCTAGAGAACTCTCATCCTTTCGTTAGCATTCGCTGCCTGACCGAGGCTGTGCATACCACTTGTGGTTCCAAAGTGCAGGTATTAAAAATAGGCTAGGATGGCTCGTGCAGATACAGTCACTCCCACTCGCCAAAAATACCCTACATTCGTCACTAGTAGACTTACGTTTGTTCTGCTAAAATCTCTACTGTACTCTCTGTCTCCTCTATATTCCCTGTCTCCAGATCTACTGTACTCTCTGTCCCCTGATCTACTGTATGGAGACTGGGACTGTGTGTGGAGAGGAGGGAGGGAGGGAAGAAGAGAGAAGGAGGGAGGGGGAAGAGGAGGGAGGGAGGGGGTGAATTGGGTTAGGATGTGTAAGAATTGAAAGAGGCAAAGAGGAAGGGAGGGAAGGAGAGAGGAGAAAATTGTAGAGAAAGAGTGGTGGACAGAAGAGAAAGGATTAGGGAGGGAAGGACAGGAGGGGGGAAAACAGACATGTCCATAGGGACTTGTGTTGGTACAGTAACCATCAAAGAGCAAGGTGAGACAAATTAGGACATTATGTAGTACAATTAACCTTATTTCCAGGAGCATTTCTCACACCGTCTCTGGCTGAACCAACCTGTTTAACAAAACACAGTCAATACAGATGTTTCACTGGTATAGCATCAGTAGGGAAGGAACTACAGGGACATGGTTTACACTGGAACTAGGCCAAAATTCTTGGAAAAGGGGATATGGACTTCGCTTCCACACTCACCTTTAGTTCAGATCTCTGTGGTTTGGGAGGCAGGTTCTGTGGTCCACTACTACTGCCTGCATTGGCCTGGTGGGTTGGGGGGAGGGGGGAGAGTGGGGGAGAATGTTAAGGAGAGAGTCAAGGATGGGTGAGAGGGAGAAGGTGGTACAAACGAGAGGTGAATAGGGAGGGAAGCACACAGGTATAGAGAGGACTGGGCAATATCGCCAGCTACATGCACAACTGTACGATACAGCTTTTGAGTAGAGAATATTTCACAGCCCCTCATGTTACACTACAGACACCAGGAGAACAAAGCAGTCACATGTCCACACACACACACACACCACACACACACACTGAGTCAAAAGACATGCTCCTGCACATGTGATGTAGATTAATTGGGGGAGTGAAGCGAGCATGGTTGGTCATTTGATATCTACCCCACTTGCAGGCACTGCCACAAATACAGTGTACATGTGTCTAAAAACTTGTAACAAATGAAATTTTCGCACATCGTGATCATCACATGGTTTTTCTACATGTGGCCCAGTGTTTGCTTGTGGTATTAGTTCAGGCACTGTCACACATACCGTATAATACATTATTTCACTTGCACAGTATGGCATAATTGTGTATGCCATGTATATACTCGCCGAAATTTATTGTATTTTTGTAGTGTATGTAATACCTGTATGGTAGGTGGAGCTCCATTGCTAACTGGAGAAGGTTTAGAGGTGGGCGGTTGTGGTTGTGAGGAGGGAAGAGGGGGAGGGTGGGGAGGAGGAGGAGGAGGAGGAGGAGGTAGTCGTGGAGGTGGAGGGGGTGGAGGGTGAGGAGGGGGAGGGTGTGGAGGTGACTGGGGAGGAGGTGGATGGGAGAGAGGGAGTGGAAGAGGAGGAGACAGGTACAGCAGTGAGGGGTTTCGAGGGGGCAGGAGTGATCTTGGTAACTGTACTACTGCTGTCCTTCTGTCCAGACTGTGATAATCGGGTCCCTGCTCCCTGGGAGACTGTGGCAGGAGTGGAAGATGAGGAAGAGGTCTTGGGAGCCGAGTCTTTCGGCGCCGGAGAGGGCGTGGCAGTGGGCGTGGTCACAGGGGGATTCGCGGCCGGAGGCGTGGCAGACATCTCCTTGAGGTGTTTCCCCTTCACAATGTCGGCCAGGTTGGAGACACCCTGATCGGTGGAGGAGGGAGTGGGAGGAGGAGGAGGGGCGGAGGGGACAGCGGATCCTCCAGCCAGGGGAGGGAAGTGGGCTGGAGAATGATCTATCGCCTTCTGCGGAGGTTGACGCTGGAAACACACACACACACGCATAGAAAAATACAATAAGCACAAAAATCTCTACGATAACATATTACGTACAACGTATATACATTGAAAGAGTCCTGGGTAAATGTGAAAAACAAACACACTTGCAATAGTAAGAGCAATTTGCGAGGGAGTCTTGTTTGTACCGAAAATCAGTAACAAAAACAACAGAGAAAGAGGGAGGTCTCCTAGAAGGAACTCAACACTCTCGCAGCAGCCCAAACAGGGACTGCAGTTGTGGTAGTGCGTGGAGAGACATGAGGTGTCCTGGACATGGGAACCCCTATGCAGACAATCATCTGATGACAAGAGGCTCGCTTGTTTAGGCTCAATAGCAGAGCATGCGGTCCCACACACTAGCAAGAAGTGTGCAATACTCTGAATAGTGCTGCACTTGCTCCACCGAACAACCGGATATAGAGAGTGAGTCAGTCAGTGTGCCAACAGAAAATTTAACTCTGCTGCACGGAACCTCATGTACATACAAAGGTCAATGTGACCTAAAATACACCGTCTAAGCACTCCAATCAGATGGCTAAGAGCTAGTACATACTGTATGTACATACTTCACTGCACACAATCGCAACTGCTTTAGTTTCTGTGCATGTGAGTCTGTATGTATGTACACTGGAAAGCTGTCTCTACTGTATATTCAAGTAGGGCAAGCACACAAACGTGCGACACCATTTATCTGCCACCTTCAACTTCAAATTTCTGTAATTTAAGCCATCCAAATGGGAGGCTTTAGACGTTGTGTGCTTGTTGCTCACAAGCCAATGAGCTGCACTCATCCACGTAAGCACTATAGGCACTGCACTTCGTGCAATATCAGAAAACTTTTCCTGTTATAAAACATTTGTTGCATTTCTACCCACACATGACTTGTGTATTTTACACTAGCTAGCCAGCGTTGTGCACATCCCAATAGTTTTGCATCGCAGCAGCACTAGTCGCGTTTCACACAATCCATGGTAAAAGTGAGACGCAGTACAGAGAAACTGTGGTTACCTGTGTATTACGTGAATACTCAGGGTCACGAGCCTTCTTGCTCATCCTCGGAGGAACACTGCTCTTCTTGGTGTCCTCGTCTTTCCCCCTCCTCCCCCTCTCGCCCCCCGAACCCCTGTACTCTTCCCTCTCCCTCTCCCCACCCCTCCTCCCCTCTCTCTCCTCCCTCCCTCCCCCAACATTGCCATTACTCATACCACCACCACCACCACCACCACCACCTGAGTTACCACCGCGCCGGTCACCACGGTCGTTTCCATGACCACCGGCATAGTTTCCATGGTTGCCATATCCCCGCCCACCACTACCACCACTGGAGCTGCCACCTCCACCCATGATTCTGGTCCCACCCCCTCCTCCACCGGCCGAGAGTCTATCTCCTCCACTACTGCCGCTGCCGGGTGGGCCGGAGGGAGGTGGGTGTGGCATGGGGGGATGTCCCTGGTAGTGATTAGGGGGACCTGCATGGACAAGTGGAACCCCTGTATACAGACGATGATAAATGACAGGAAAAAAATGTCAAAATCGAGGTCCCATAGAGACTCAACACCATGTACAGTGTGTTAAAAGAAGCAACATGACATGAAAAGTTTTAAAATGTTTGCAAGTCCAGTAGGAGATTAATATTTCAATAGAATAACCTCTGCACCAACAAAATTTACTATTACGGACAACACATAAACCATAAATCATAGGGTTTGAAGATTGCTGCATTCACATTGCGCAGTTAACGTCAACAGTAGAGTCACAATCGTAAGTACTGCACAATGTGCATAGTATATATGGCAAGTTGCATGCAGGACGTGCTATGTATCTACTGTACGTGTAGCACCTTTTATAGCCACATGTACTTGAGTAGCACCAGATATAGCCTCTGAACTAACTCACTACGTACAGTATGTAGATATTCTATAATTGATCGTGTAGTGTATGCCTGAGGAGATCGGTCAGACTCGGTATAATTGTTTGAGTCACAATCGACTGCACAATGTGCATAGTATGGCAAGTTGCATGCAGCTAGCTAGGCGTGCTATGTACATCTACTGTACGTGTAGCACCTTTTATAGCCACATGTACTTGAGTAGCACCAGATATAGCCTCTGAACTAACTCACTACGTACATATGGAGATATTCTATAAATGATCGTATGCCTGTGGAGATTTGTCAGACTCGGCCCAACAGTTGAGTTGAGGAAAAGTAAGTGTACAAGTACATGAAAGGGTAGTCAAGTGCAAGGCTGGTAGCACCACAAACTAGATCTCTGGTGTACGGTGGAATAGACATTGACAGACTGAGGTTTGGCACGAGACAACCATCCTGGTGACCTGACTCCAAGAGGGTTAAGTGATGATATTCACGGCCCACAAACTGGGGTCTTGAGGCATGCCACCGTGTTCATTGTGTTCATTAGTTTTGCCCCTCAATTACAGCTGACATGATTGGCGAGTGAAACGAGCCTACACTGTACGTAATAGTCATCTGAATGCGGGATATTCGTACACATGATGGGCACCGGTAACGAGCACTGGAAATACCGTATATATGTTTACATGATACTAAATAAGCACACGAAAACTTGTACTCTTGTTCGCCCACCAAAAATGGGTTGCATTCATTCTAGAACACAATGCAACTTTTGTTAAAGTGTATTGGAGCTTATGACACATGTACATAGGGCAGGCAACATGCTGCACAGAACAGCATTGTCTTACAAATTTGTTCGTGGCTTTCATACCCCCACATTGATAATCTTCATATCCCTCCGCACACAACTGAGGTAGCCCCTCGAAATTTTACGTTTACATAAAACGTGTGTCCGTGACGGAGTGTAGATAACATACCAAATCCCTGGGGAGGGTGGTAGCCATTCATGTAGGGCATGTAGTTAGGGTCTCCATGGTAATAGGGACCCCATTGTGACACTGGCTGGGAGAAATACTGCACCTGGGAGGAGGAGAGAGAGGGGAGGGGGGAGATGGAGAGAGAGAGAGAGAGAAATAGGCAAATGGAAAGACAGGAAAGAAGTGGGAAGGAAGGGAGGGATACATGAGAAGATACTAAGTAAAGTACTGAGGGTGGGATGAGAGCACATTTCACAGGTACAGCAAATATGCCAAGAATGATGATCTCATGTACACAAGCTGTAAATTACGTCATCTGATACTATTTTAAGCGTACATTAACATTCAAGCACAACCACAGACCACTATAATAATACAGCAACACCAAGCTGTGACTCAACAACTACCCATTGGAATGTAATCACACGCAGGGCTACTCCAGTAGAGACTAACTAGGGGTGGGTACTACCTGCTCACCGATGGGCCACTACTCAATGTTAGCCAACTGTGTTCATGTGAAATCAACGATGACCACAACGCAAATCAAAGAACAACAACACAACCACACCTATAACATAGGATGACACTTTTTTCAAAGAGACTGGACTCTAGGTGAGCGCTCTAGCAACTCAGTAGCCAGGGGTTCACACAATATAACACTAGACGAAGGCACACCGCAAACCACTGTGCTGTATGGCACGGTACACTCTTTACTCAGTATGTGTAGGAGGAAACTGAGGTAATCAAGACGCCTAACTCCAAACTAGTACACATGGGCGTGATCGACACTGCATGCAAAATGTCAGGTATGTATGGGAGATAAAACAAGTGCAGTCAAACTCAGGTGCTGTGACTGGGAGGTGAGGTACTAAACAATGTAACACATCTTTCTCAGAAGTAAAGTAAACACATAGCTGGCAGAGACAGATCTCATGCTTGTCTTCTCCAGGCCAACCAATGACTTTACACATGTGTAATGTGTAGTTTCAGAGTGTAACTGTGCCAGTATCATTGTAGTACTCACAGGTTGCTGTCCATTGTAGACATTCTGTACAGAGGGGTAGGAGGAGGAGGAGGAGGGGTAGTGTGATTTCTTGGTCACAGCGGAAGGTCGCTGGACCGTCGTTCCCTTGATCCTCGCTCTGATGGGATGGCCCAGGAAATTCCTCACATCCTCTCGCAGGTGGGCAAATGCCTGCAGCAGTAGACACACCACAAACAAGACTTATTGTACAGGTATCTGTACTACCACAATTAGTGATAATGAGAGCAATAAACATGTGGGGCAAAGACTACATGTCCATCCATACAGCCCCGAAAACTGTGTGAATTGAAAGCATACTACTCAGGTGGCAGCCACAGCTCTAGAGCCATCGACCACACACCCACAGCAATTAACACAGGGCACCGGTAGCAACAACATGCACCAGCAACAAGTCTTCCCAAATATTATGTTTAAATCACTACATACCAACCACTAGGAAAACAGGAAAACACCACACTTCATTGACATGACAACCTCACCACATGTATACATAGAAATGTTGGTTTGGAAGGAAGTGAGAGCGATTGTAGAGGGAAGATAACGGAACCTTTTGTGTGTCCTCCTCAGAGTCAAAGGTGATGTACCAGCAGTCATTCTCTGCAAACTCGCAGGTGCAGAAGTTTGGGCAGCTGTCGCTGGAGAACAGACCTTCTATGTGCTGTGTGTGCGTGAGATAGGGAGAGAGGGAAGGGGCAATTAGGGTTACTAGCATGTCAACACAAAATGACTCGTGAGGACATGTGAACAAGACTTGGCGCTAGGATTGTGTTGGGCACGGTGTTTTTTTTCAACCACTCACGAAAGAACGGAAGAAACAAAGTTACTGGTAGTTGTTAGAGAGATGGAAGAAGGAAGAGGAGGGAGAGGGGAGAGTGAAAGGGAACAGGTGACAGAAGGCTGGGGCTACCTTTTGAGGGGTGTCTTTGGGTATTTCTCTGAGGATGAGGACACATCTCTTCTCTGGGACTGCCCTCACCTTCTCTGTCGTCTCGTCCAGTTGGAGATGATGGGACTCTGTGCGGGGACACCAACACCACATGCTCCAGTAACCTCCACATGCTCCAGTGACCCAACATACACACTAGGCTACATGTACAGTGAAACCCCTGAAGGACACCTTGGGGGGACATTGAAAGCGTCCTTCATTCAGAGGCGTTTTTTTGGTCGGAGGTAGTAGTATATAAAATACTGTACACTATATGGGGCAGAACCAAGTGTCCTTTATAGAGAGATGTCCTTTATTGTGAGGGTACATACGTTTTCAGAGGTTTAACTGCACGTGTATGTAAGGTACACGGAGAGAACCAAGTGCACTGACAGATTGAACACATGGATAAGTCTGCACTCGAGAATATCAACCACATGTCCATGATCAGAAGACCACAAAACCATACACACCACTGACATATATAGCGTGTAGCTATGGATTCTTGATCCTATTATATAGTAGTACAATGTACAGGAACGAGGTGGAGGCATGATCGTTAGAGGTACACATGTGTATGACCTTATAATTAATTACTCTGTACAATGTTACATGTGGCGACAAAAGGGAATGCATACACTAACAGGTGATTGTACTAACAAACCTCGGATGGCATCCATTATTAGGTTTATGTCTGTAGTTAACCTTTTGACCTGTAGGTAAAGGAGAGAGGGTCATACCCTAATTATACCAGGGTAGTCTGCGGAACACACAAACTGTACTACCGTGTTCATGGTTGGACCAAGTTACATAGGAAGACAGCAGGGGCTTTTGCATAGAGACACTAAACTGGTATCATATTTTCTTACAGTGGTGACAATGTGTTGGTTTGTGACCTTCATTACCTTCAAAAATCCGGCTATGACTGACACAGGCACATAGTGATCTCCATCCATCTGGGATACTGTGTATAGGCAACACCCACACACAACAGGTCATACAACATTATACATACATCAATGATGTACACCATGTAAATTCATTACACTGTATGGTGACAAAAGATTTGGTATACTGTAAGATATTTGGGTGACGATTATGATCTTCCACCATCCTAGCCTATAGCTCGCAACATCACATGCTCACAACAACAACTTTACAGCACCACTGACTAGCTAGTCCCTTTCTCTCCAATCCACTAAACTTGTGCATGCGGTAGACTCTCTGTATGCCAGAAGGTAGGGGAGTGCAGTAGTGCCACACCAACAAACTAAGAGACCGTGAGCAACGACTCGGAAGGTTTGAAGCTTAGGAATTGTGCATGATTTTCAATCGTGAACAGCAAAATGGGACTCAGAAAGGCACATCAAACTCCCGTCAACAAGGAGTGTTTATCAACTGAATTGTGTCTTGTTTAAATGTCATTTCCCAATTCACATTTTTAACAACAGGAAGACATACTGTGTATAGTACTCACACAGGTATTTGTCAGAGCTGAGGTTTTCCTTGGAGAAATAGTACTCTAGCTGTCGAACGAGTGTCGCTCTTAGCCCCTCCCCCTCGGGGGGCGGGGACATGGGGTCAGAGGTCATGTGACTGTTGATGGACGTGGCAGAGTGATGTAGGAATGGGGCGGAGTCCATCATGTGAACATACGACCCTGCAATGGTGTGAAATTCCTTTCCATGAGTATACTTGTACATACATAGTACTAAATATAGAACTAACATACTACACAGTAACTCGATCCTCTCCAACCTCAGTTTCTCATGCATGTTTACATTCGAGTCAGTAACAAAGGTGTAATTGTACAGTACATGCCAAAATAAAGTTCCCACTACGTTGCCGTAGTACGGTGACACCGTAGCAACATTTCTACGGTGGTTCTACGGTCAAACGTCTGTGTGAGCACGCGGACATGACATGCGGGCGGGAGACCGTGCCCACAAAACCGCGGAGTGAGATTGAGCCGTCGATCACCTCTCAGCGAATGCCGTGGTGACTAAAGCTGCATGTGGCCCAGGCTGCTTACTACAGCCAATCTGTATAGGACTGTAGGTGGGCCTTGCCGTACTGTAGTACAGCTGTACGGCGCAGCAAGACCGTAGCTCTTACTACGGTGTGACTGTATTGCGGTACGGTAGAGGGAACTTATTATTGGCGTGTACTGTACATGATACAAGTCACGGTTTTGAAAGAGAGACTGGTTGGCATGATGGAATGGAATGATGTGCGTGTTTCAAGAAAAACAGATGCAACTGGAAAACAAACAACACAAAATTCTTGTTTGAAAACACTTACACAATTAATGTACATACTACATATACACACCATTCAGGACTTGATGACATGTACAGTATAAGCTATTTACATACATGCACAGTGTACTCAACACTGTGCATTCCTTTCAAAATGGAAGGACAAAGCAGAGGTAATAATTTGCTACATTGATGTATTGACTTCAGAGTGTTGAATGGAATTCCAAAAATGGCAATTTAAAACGGCACCCATGAGTGCATTCCACAAGGTGACATGAAGGAAAGTATGCAGCTAGCAATTACAAGCATGTCGTCACTTGTACCTTCGGCCATTCCAACGTCTCCAGCCCCGCCCCAGGCAGTGTTCGGGAGGGAGTGGCCTGGCAGCATGGCCGGATCTCCTCCCCCCGATCCACTACTGACACCGTTGGGTAACGACATCATATAGTAGGGGCTCTCCCCTGGCCCTCCGAACTGGTGTGCAACGTAACCCTTCCCGTCATCCTGGAATGGGAGCCGTGGAGAGAGGGGGGGAGAGAGGGTGTGAGGGGAAGGGATAGAGGGAGGAGGGAGAGATAAGTGTCCACACATTGTGGGGCAAATCCAGTAACGAGACCATATACAGGAAGACAGACGGACAACGGGACATGTGCCAATCCTCCCAGATGGCTTACGGCTTTCTAAACTAGGGGCGTGCGGTCCTTACTTGTCAACCTACACCACAATAACTACCCAATACTCTGTCATTGCCAAAACCGGGGATAATTGGGTTAACCCCAACAATAGTGGTCCTGACCTGTTCTCCGCCACTGGAGAAATCTTCCTCAGAGAGAGGGCTGCTGGGCTCGCTGCTCTTCGGGGGACCCGTCGTCTCGTCTGTGATCTCAATGTCAGGGGCTGCCCCGTGGGTCGCTGTGGGGGGTGTGAGGTGGGAGGGTGGGGGAGGGGTGGAGCGAGTGCTAGCGGTGCCAGCTGATGTGGGGAGGTCTTTCCCGGCTGGCTTCGTGTGCATGGTCACAGCACTTGATACTGGATTGTGACTGTTGTGTGTGTTGAGGGAGGGAGGAGGGAGGAGGGAGGGAGGGAGGAAAATAGGGGTAATTAGAGAGAGGACATGTAGTGCAAGGTGAGATAAAGGAAAGAGAAAGTCTACACAGGCATAAATGTGCACAAAGCTACCATGGAGAGGAGGGGAGATTGGTGTACAAGTGTACCATAGCACACATGCATGTTTCCTACAGATAGAGTACACATGTCGTTGTACAGATTGTCCTACTGTATACAGTCACTCCTTACACCCTGACCCTTTCAAGATATGTAAGTCAGTCTAGAGCTCTGTGACGCACACCTTTAACCTCATTACAATGACTGTCAACAAGGGGTGGGGCACTCCAAATGTACATAGAAGTGGTTGCTTAGTTGTGTACAAATACACTTTACTCGGCTCAGAGTCATGGTGAAAGGTGTGTCACACAGTTCTAGACTGACTAACCATGAAAGGGTCAGGAGGTATATACATATATACAAGACAATCGTGTACAATGTTATGTAAAGGACATTGACTTGCCTGTATGCTATGGTACACTTCTACCAATGCCCCCTCCTCCCCATAGTACATACTTCCGTGCATACATACAACCAACTAATTAGTACTACAGGGTTGCTCTATGGGGGAGTGGTCTTAGAGAAAATCATGGGGGCAAGCCAACACAACTCTCACATGAGCCGCAGTTCAGAGGGAAATAAAACATGTACAATACCAAAACTGTAACACCATACAAAAGATAGCAACTTACATATGTGCCACAACTTGACCCCTGCCTACACACAATAGGACGACCATACATGGACCCGAGGTGACTACAATAACAATATATACAGATGGATCTGAGCCTGCTAAAATAATCTCACATTACTATGTACTTGCCGAGCATTTGAGATACGGAACTATAGCACAGCGTTCACGGCACAATGTCACATCGTGAAACAGGCTCGTTTGTTCTGCATTGAGATGCGTGTATGGGCATTATTGCCGCCTGTCACTCACAAGAAAAGGGACCTATACACATCGCTTTGATTATCGCTCTCCCGTCTCAAAAGATCCGATGCCTTTCACACACCATTCACCAGTGCCAGAGCAAAATATCGAATCGCCACTTGGCACGAGGCAAAATCCCAAACAGTAGTAGCGTAGTAGAGGGAGGCAGAGGTGTAATTTATCAGCATGTAGTGGAGGGTTTGGAGTTCTGATGAATTTTGGCAAGGCTTTCAGGAGAGGATATGTAGAAAGTGCCAAGTCTGTGGCCCTAATATTATCCACTCTGTCTGCCTGCTAGATACCTTTTTAGTCAGTGACAGTTGCCCACAGAGGGTGTAGTTAGTGTGACAAGGGCACAGCCTTACTCCTGCTGTGTTTAACTTTATTGGTCTGTACAAGTGTATTAGAGAACTAATTTGCACGTATTTTCTGGTGTGTGTGTGTGTGTGTGTGTATAAAAGGTGAGTGTTATACTGGAGGTGAGGCAGGGTTTACCTGGTGGCTTGCTGTTGATTGCTGGGAGGCTGCTGGTCTGGGCACTGCTCGGTGGTGGAGGTGGCAGAGGATTGTGAGTCCTGCTGCGATAGAATGCAAGACCAAACACTGACACACATGCTACGATAACACACACACACACACACACCAGTCACACATGCTCTCCCTATGCATGGCCTAGCCTCCCACTTTTACATTATCGAACATGCTTCCTGCGCCCTAATTAGAGAACGTCGTCATGGATACAGTGACGTCATAAGGACCGAACGAATGAACTAACTTCGGCCCCAGGCACAGGTTTCGATAGCATTTGCCGGCGGCAGAGTCTTCTATATAGCTCTGGGTTATACCAATGTACGAGCGTTGCTAGTGCACCTGCGGGAATAGCGACTTTTGAAAAAAAAACGCTCTCACGCGCACGCCTTTGTCAGCGCCACAGCCGTTCTCCCTCCCGTCTCGCCCCTCGAAGTAACCACACGCACACAGACTGACTACTGTACACACACCAAAGCACACCCAAGCGCTGTATTATAAAACTCGAGCACGCTGTGGTGGTGCCCGTGGCAACCCGTGACTTACTTCCTCTCGTTTTGTTTCTGCCATATGAGCCAGGTGACGACCAACGGAGCGCCCAGCAGCTGACTAGAGTGAAGGCTTCACCAATATCACACCACCTCCAGTGCCGTCCTCCCGTCTCTCGCTAGGTCCGCCGACACACAACTCACACGTTCAAACAAAATTCTTGGCGATTTTCAGATACGGTGCACAATGCGCAGGATACGCACACCTGCCAAAAAACGCACAACTTTTTCTTCTATATGATCTCCTATTCGATACGACGACTTAGCAGTGTTGTTACACCACGGGGTGGACCGGGCTCACTAGTTCTTGGAACAACGAACGGCACGCAAGGCGAGCCGGGGAGTGAATGTACTTTAGAAAAGCACGTGGAGAGTATGGGCTATTATTACACGTACGCGCGCAGTGTAAGCGCAATGTGTTAGGTGGGTGTGTAAAAATAATCTGTGTAACAAAAATAGCACTGTGTCGCTAAATATAGAAGTTGACCGGAAGTTGGTCAAGCCATGTCACACACACAGGCACCACACAATGTACCAGAGTTGTGCTAACTGCCATGTCTTACCTGCGCATGGTGTGATTGGTGTCCCCCAATAAACTCTGTGGAGGTTATCCCCTATATACATCCGTCTGTCCTGGAACACCAGACTAACATAGGACCTCTTCCAAAGCGCGATCATTGGAGGGTGTGTGCACCTTTTTCAGCACACACAGCGCCAAAATTCAAACGCAATTTTATTGCTGATACCAGTTTTTGGAGTGTCAATTTCTTCTTTCAGCAATAAGTTTGAATTTTGGCACTAATCACCCTCCATAATAATGAGATTGAGATTTTGTTTGTCTATCACCAAGTACGGTAGTACTTAGTGTAATGGATGACACAGGTTGTCCTGCATTATGCCCATACATTTGGGATTTGTATGTTTCACTATCAGTTTCAATCAGATCTTGCAAATGGTGTTTGTGCCTTTAACTTGTTTATGGTTGGTCCTCTAACAATGAAATTTGGTACACTGATAAGTGTTCATCAAAACAAGTTTCAACGTCAGTGAAACTTGATACACTTATGTACTTTGGTGGTGAAAGGAACATGTGTAGCTACTAAAACACTCTGCGTTTGCTAGTATGTCGAAGAGGAACTTTGTACTTGGAAAAAGTGTACTCCAGCTGGTCCAATCTGCGGAGTTTGGTATACAGGACCAAAGTTTTATGAACGGCTGTTCTTTGTGCGGTGTTGTCTATAGCTATAGCTATAGAGATAGTCTTTGGGCATAGCTAGTGGTGATTGACAGCAGCTAAAAGAGTGTTGGATTTTCTTACAGCCGAGTTTTAGATTCCTCGTGATCAGATTTATTGTAGCTAGCTAAGCCACAGCCACTCGTGGATGGATGCCACTGTCGACGGTGTACACGTATAAACACACACGCGCACGTACACTACACACGCACGCGGTTCAGCCAGCCGGTGTGCGTGTTGATCCAGCCCCACCCCCATTTTTGGAGGCATATGGGGGCGTTTAAATTAGCGCTCTCGGCGCCTTTATTTGACCACACCTCTAGCATTTTGCAGCCTCCCCCTCTGCGCGCCATCTGTTGCTAAATCAGACATGGAAACGTCGAGTTGGCTGAAGTGCTAATCAGACAAAGAACAGAACAGCGGGGATCTGGGTAACTGTAGCGTCGGCTCCAAGGAACGATCACCCACAATCCGACAGCCCCGGCCAGTTAGTTCACTAGCAGTCGCCCGAAGTCCACAGCTGCCTCTCACTAGCACTGTGCCCATTGGACGACGACGCAAGTTGTGCTACACTGAGCAGCTGCTGGCCGTGTTTTCGTGCCGTGCTACAAGCCATCACTCCAGATTACCTCCGGCGATATATCGTACACCTCCTGCCCTGTGTTTGTAAACGTCCAAAGCAAACACAGGTCCTGTGCAACACACACTGACAACCCGGCAGTATGGACACCCTTTCAGTCTAGCTAGACCTACTCTAGTCTCATCTAGCCAGTTGCAGAGAGCGTTTGTGTGTTATAGTGCTGGTTAAGTAGAGCCAATAGGAGTATAGAGAGCTGTCTGTAGTCATGGCTTCAGGAGTGAGTGGTCGACAGAGTGCCTCTCCTTCCAATGGTGATGAAGTATACCAGAGCCCAGGAGCCAGTCAGGAGGACACTGTTGACCATCTCCTGGCCCACTATGGCGGTATGGCCGACAGGAGGCCGGGGGAAGGAGAGAGGGAAGGGGGAGGAGTCGACATTATTGACGGTGGGGTGGTGGGAGGAGAGAAATACACTGCTCACAGAAATCGCTCTGCTGTTGTGTTGGAGAGACCCGCAGTTGGTGGGGAGATTGTTTCGTCGCCGTCAGGGGCACACCCCCCGAGGCACTTCCTCACCCCCTCCCCTCGTCATGCAGTCTCTGCCCCCACGTCCCATCAGACGACCCCGGCCCGCGAGGAGGACCCTGTTCGTCGAGGGCGCAGCGGTCACCCCGGAGACACGCGCTCCTTCAGTTGGGACAACGTGGCAATAGGAGCTTCTTCAGGAACTCAAGGTCAGCTGACAGTCACATGACACACAACACAGTATACATTACGTCACTATGCCAGGGTATAATCGGGACATTGTGGAGGAAAGTTGTCCTGATTAGTGGGGTGTTCTAGTTCTGACGAGCACCTGTTTACAAACATACGTAAACACAGTGTTTATAACCCAGTCTCCCGATGTTTACAAACAGTAACATGTCGGTTACATGCCATGTGTTGGCGTAAGCTGGGGTATTATGAGGGGGCGAGTAACAGTCACCTCATTGTTTGTAATTACAATACCCTGTGCTAACACCACTATGTTTCTCATGGAAAAGTATACACACACAGTGACTGTCGTATGTACGCAGTTGAAACTGTCTCAGGAAGATGTTAGATTTGTCTACAGGCTGTTTTGGGATTGGGTGACGTTCTATGGTGTGTCTGCGCTGTATGGACAAATTTGGTATAACATGCAGGGGCAGCTTACACAATGTATTATTGGATATTGAGTACGTAACAATACTTAGGACCGCTGGCAATTGTTTATGTTTTAGCATGAACGAGTTCACGGTGCATGTGTGCAACATTGCCATATCTAAAACCTTTGTCGTGTCTTGCTCTAGTCTCATGGGACATCACCACACATCGAATTATTGTAACTTGAGATGTCCATACTTTTAATTGATGCAGTATACTAGAGGCAATCACCCTTGTGGCTCTCCTCTAAAATTCTCTTCTTTCCCCTCCCTCCCTTACTCACTTCACCTCCCTCCTCCCTCCCTCAATTCTCCTTCCTCCTTCTCTCCTTCTCCCTCCCTCCTTCCCTCCCTCTCTTCCCCTCTCTCCCTCCCTCCCTCACTTCCTCTTCCTCCTTCCCTTCTTCCCTCCTTCCCTCCCTCTCCTTCCCTCCATCCCTCCCTCCTCCCTTACCCCTCCTCCATTCCTTCCTTAATATCTCCCTCTCTTTCTTCCATGAACTACTAAAATGTGTAGCATAATTTTTTATTGCCTACCAAGAACTCTAGGGTCACCCAGACAGTCTGCAGTACATGTGTACACATCACTGGTTGCTCGCTCACACAGGCAGTTATGTACACATGAGGTGTAGTTGGTGGTGGCTGGATGAGAAATGACAAGTTTGTAGAGAGAGGTTCCATAACTGCAAGGCTATTGGTAACAACTGAAAATATGGGACAATCAAACCCTACAATAGGTCTACTTCCTCACTAGAACCTTGTCAATGCCCTGGTTCATACAAGGTTCATAGATGGAGGGTTTGGTTGCATTGGCCTCTGTTGACACTTTAATGGAGCTACTGTTACCGCTTTATTAGCTTCCGTATGTACCCCGCACAACATAGACACACCTACTAGCATCTTTATTTAGGGGATTTGGACCATGTGTAAATTTTCTGAATTTCTCACATAATTTTTAACTCACTCTCCCAAAAAAACCAGGTTTTACACAATTCGCCTCTCGTTTTGAGGTCAGTATGTATACTTCCCAAGCGTCACTCCCGTACAGTTGTGTAATTACTTTGTTGTTGAGGTCTTTTGAACAAAGTGACAACACAGTATCGTGCAGATCAACAGCCACTGATTAAAAGAGAATTGTTGTATTTATATAGGACAAACTACATGTACATACTAGGAAATCCTCTCATTTGTAGCCTCACGTCATTTTTTATGACCTGTGTAGTGTATATACGTACACTGGATCATCTTCTAGAGCCTATGCAGTTGCGTTAGGGTGCATTTTTAAAACCCGGCTGGCAATAAACAATAGAATTTTCAACGTCAGCAATTGTGAGATGTGAGCTCTCGTGTGTATGCATGTCCCTATTGTGTGAAAGTAGGTGTGAAGAACTGGGTGTTGTGGGTAACAGACAAGCTATTGGCAAGGTGAAAAGTGCCGTGCCCTTTATACCTGTACACAGAAGTAAATATTTTACTGCTGATGCAATTCACATCAGCAATCTCTCCTATGATCGTACATGGTGTGTGCCATGGTGTATGTTATGTGGACAAATCAGTCCATTATAACAGTACTGCGGTGTACATGTACTGCAATCTATATAGCGGTTATTATAGTGTCCGTATAGGCAGTAATCTGGACCACACCTGTAACTCCTCTCAATAACTGCATACCATCTCCACCAGTATGGTATGTATACATGTAGACTATAGAGAAAAGAGTGTCGTGCTCTGGTGTTGCCTCTAAATGGTCTTGCCACTGGAGCTGGGACCTCTCCCCTAATTGGGTGCTAATTAATTGTTTCAGTGACCACAGACAGGACCACTGTCCAATTCTCAGCACCTTCTCCAGTCTATGTGGGACACCCCAGCCTGTAGCCATTCTGCCAGTTGCTTAGTTTGCATCACTAAGCAACTGGTGTATTGCCTGGTATTGAGGAAGGATGCTGTACTAACAACCAGTTTTAATAAACATTTGTTTTGCCGACTACTATATGAAGCAACTGGTCTAAGTCAAAGTACGTACTGTGCAACCCACGTAATCCCTTATCCAATATACACATAATTATAACAAAGCATGTAATCTACATGATGAAACTATTTTTTACTCCCTATAAGTTCCCTTGGACTTACGGAGGTCCATTTATATGTCCGTGGCGGGTTAAGTGTTAATTAACAAGCAACGTGGTGTGACTATTGCCCACTCACACAGTGGAATGCCCCTGAGATCTTTGGCAATTACATTAGCAATGCAATCATACTTAGCCGCTACATGAAGGTATTTGTACCACATACGGCAGTGTCGTGTCCTGTGGTGGGTTTCACGGTTGCCACGGTCGTATTGAATGCTGTTGAGTGTGCAAATTCTACTCTTTTTCACTTTGTGTGCAGTGCAGACTCCTCAAGCATTGTGTGTGTGTGTGTGTGTGTGTTGAGCAGTAGAAACAACGACGATCAAACCAACCTTCTTATCAACCAATTGTGCGTATGCATATAAATCGTTAGGAGGCAAGCCAGTTGAATTTGTCCTATGTCTCTGCTCACTGCTGGCACAAATTGACTGCAAATTGCAGGGTTTATGTCATCCTTTCCGTCATTACTACCAATTTGTTGCACTTGCTTAGCTTACTGCTTCGGTGTAAGCTACACTTGTACATTCCATTTTGCTTATTTCAAGTCAATAACGCGTATATACGTAGTTGTTGTCTTGATTCATGTCAGTTGCTTTGTAACTGCAACAAAGTGAATGGCTAGGGCCTATGGTATCACCCTTTATTGCTACTGGGCACAGTCAAGGAAGGAGAGGGATGAATACTTACTTGGTGGAGGTACATGTGACTCGTTTGCCATTCTCCAATTCAAATTATGGGGGAGTTCTGTACTGTAAAGGACACCACACGTAACTGGCTGCAAGTGCGTGTGCATTAATTATAGTTGTTCGTTATAATGTACGTACAATGCACATGAATGGATGGCGGACTATACTGACCACCACCTCCCCTTCTATGAACTTGAGACTTGTTCCCACTAGCAGTTTGCGAGGGGTGACCCTGAATTACTTGTGTACCTCTGCATTTGGTTAGACAATAGAAATTCACTTTATCGGAACACGTTGCATGGACTGAAATACAGGGTTCATCTGTATACGCAGCGTTGCAAATAAGCTCTTTGAGAAATGTACGGGGGCACGAGTTAACCCAGACAGCAGTATCCTCACTTGATTTGAGCCCTAGTTTGAGCAGAGGCAAACTGTGTTCAGGATGGGCAAACTTCTCTTCCCCCACTTGTGTACTATCCACCTGGGCTGATGAAAACTTTCTATGAGCGGATCTAGACTTATGTACGTACTACATACACACAGTCCACAATGTTTGAGTGATGTTAAGCACATGCACAGTTCTGTCTGTGGACAATGTTTATGTGTTCATGCATGTTTCTCTGTGTTCAATTATGGGGGTGTGCATGGCCTTAATGCACATTTGGTGTTCTGATAATTAAGAGCTGTCCTAGGTGTATTTTCCTTTGCCTTGCCTTTCTCTAACTTGTTACCTCGTCATTGACACTGGTAGAGCGCTCGCCTAGACTGCAGAGTGTCGTGGGTTCGAATCCCACCTAGGGCAGCTCTTTATTTTTCCTTGGAAGAAAAGAGCTGTCCTAGGTGTAGTTGATTTGTTTGTTGTGCCTTTGCCTTTCTACCTCATATGTAGTTTTCACAGGTAACATGCACAAAGCTAAGCATCATTAGCGGCCTGACTACATTATCAGTGTGTGTGTACGGTGTGTGTGTGTGTGTGTGTATGTAAATGTACGTGTACATGATCGTAATTGATTGTGTGAACTTGTTAAGGCGATGATACAGAAAGCAACTGTACACCCATGCGACACGTTGCATGTTATAGACGCACGTGTAACTTTATTGCATGGACCCGTCATAACCATGCATGTGAAACCTCGTTTCATGCAATAAAAGTGTGCCGTGTGCCTATGCAAAGTTGCATGAGACTTTGTTGTCCTGGGTTTTGATAATCACCTACAGTACTTTGTATCGGGAGCGTGAAAACTTGCTTGGGTGAAACGTGACTCAATATTATACTGGACCTAATTGTGTTGTGTGTGGGAGTGATGTTGGCTAATGTCATGTGAACATGCCAACCGTATACACCAGCCTTACCCGACCATTGTTCCCAGCAGTTGAATTTGAATGGCTCATAGAGCCACTGAATGGGGCTCTTAGACCCCAGCACACACACACACACACACAGGTTCGAGTCCAGCGTGTAGACCAGTAGTGTACAATATGAATCATACATATACACATCAGTGTAATGCGATGTGGAAGACAGTGAATGTAAAGTAACGGTGTAGAGCGAAGTAAAAAGTGTGGTTATGTAGAAGACAGATGATGTAAGGCCACTGTGTATAGTCAAGTATAAGGTGTGGTGATGTAGTAGGAGGTATGTACAGTCCAGAGTCTGTTTCAGTATCTGTCGGATGGACCAGGAGTGTGTGTGTGCATGTGACATGGTGTCTCTGTACACGAGCGACTGTTATGTAACACGTAGCAACTACGTTACTAGTATAGGCTAGGGAATGTCCGTCGATAGTCAGTGTAACGTTTAGTAATAGTTATGTACGTACGTATATATGTTGCTAGAGTGTTTTTTGTGGTTGTGAGTGGAGAATGACTGAGGTATCACTGCCACCAGAGCTAGTACCAGCAGAGCTTGGTACAGTAGTAGTGTCAGACGGAGTGCTACCAGTATCACTCTCTAAACAGAAACGAAACTTAAGTTACGTGTTAGCGTTGGAAGACTCTGTTGTTCCCACCAGTCCGCCGCCTGCTTATGGCGCCCTCCCCTCACCTCTCACCCACCTCCCCCGTTTCCCCCTCCTCCCCGCTCCTCACAACTCTCACGTCTCGCGGACCTCTCCTCACAAGATCAGGGAGTGTAAGTCTGGCCCCTCAGTCCTCAAATTTGGACTCCCCTATTTTCAAAACGAGGCCACGTAATACAACTACGCCAGGCTGCAAGGCAAGTAAGAGTGGTCAAGTGAGGTTAATTGATTTGCACGTAATGATTGTTGTATGAATTGGTTGTGTGATTCCATAGCGTCGTACGTGGTTCGCTGGTTCAAGGGCTACACTCTCCAGAATTGCTAGTGGTATTCGCTGAAAATGCTCTTTCTAGTAATGTGTAGTATGAGGAGGGTTAAAATTACGCTAGCCGGTTCTCTTAAAATATGTTATCCTAATTACTATTCTTCGCTGGATGATACAATACAAAGTTATTGAACCATATAAGGAATGAGACTGAACTATTCGAATCCATGACAACTATACAAGTACACTACACTTATATAAGCCCGTGCTTTGCTGCTCATCGTAGTGCGCCTCGCGTATAGAACTCACGCGCGCGCGCCGCCTCCTCCTCCCTCACGCCTCCCTCCGCCCTCGCCTTCGCCCGTAATCCTCCTCTTCTCTGTCTTCTCCCACCCCTATTTTCTTTTCCCTCCCTCTCTCATCATCCTGTCTTATCTCCTTCCCCCTCTCTCTCTCCTCATTTTTGCCCCCTCCCCCCTCCCTCCCCAGGTTCAGGGGTCAACTACCCCACCACGGCAGCAGAGATCATCGAACTCCTACAGAAGAGATATGTTTCCTGTCGGGTGGCCGGGCCAGGGAAGGCCAGAGTCTCATCACCTTCCCAGCCAAAGACAAGAACTTTGAGTACGACAGAGACGAGCTGCGTAGGGTTATCCAGTACCTCGCCAGCATTCCCATGTGAGCATATTCTGTATATCACCCAGCCAGTTTTCGGTATATGTTCAATGTGTATGTACAATACAGTGTACAAGCTCATGACAGTGTGTACCCCATCCTTGATAAGTACAGCACATAGGTTGGTAGACAAGTGCATGCCTCATTAGTGAATCCTAGGTTACATTTCTTCTTGATGCTTTACTAACCGAAGGTCACAAAGACCTTCAGTATGCTGTAAGGGAACAGGGCTAGGAGTTAGACTAGACAATAGAAAATAATAAAATAAACAACATTGACACTCGTCTTCTCAGATATATGCAAAGTGTTAGTGATTGACGTACGTACAATAAGTTGCATCCTGAAGCAAACGTCTTGATACGTAAAAGGTGCAATGTGTATACACCAATCTATAGCAATTGTGTTAAGGATACACTGTAATGGAGTGTGTGTGTGTGTGTGTGTGTCTGTGTGTAGGGAGGATGTGAGGGAGTATGGGTTCAGTGTGATAGTGGATGCTCGACACTCCAGCTGGCACAGTACTAAAATGGTTCTCCACAGTCTCCAAGAGGTCCTCCCTGGACAGGTATGGATATACTGTACGTACGTTCTTACTACACTTCCCAGCATTCACCGCAACATGAAGCTTGTAACATGCTTGTGTGTGATTTGCTCGTGCTTGGAGAAAGCTCGTGTCACAAGATTGAACACAATTCAGTTGCTTAGCTGGTCTTGTGTGTGTGGCATGGCCCAATTGTCTGTTTATAATGGCGGGGCATTTTTCACTTAGTCCCATGACCCCACACACTACATACACATCTCTCCTGCTAACCTAATGTTTGCAGCTAATTACGTCAATGATGCATGCAGTCTCATTGCTTTACTGCATGCATGCATTAATCACGCAAGGCAAGTGCATATCGTAACTGTACACCTACTACATACATACAGGACAACACTTTTCAAATGCCCTAGGTGGGACTCGAACCCACAACACTCTGCTTTCTAGACAGAGATCACTACCACTGATCTACTGTACGTATGTATCAGGGAAACTTAGCAAACAGGGCCTCAAATTCTGCATGTAGACTAGCTATTATTCATGTCTGTGGTTGTGTCGACATGAGAAGCACTGTGGCAGATGTATACAAGCGTGCTGACGTGTGTCATCATTTGCAGGTGCATGTGGCGTACATCATTCAGTCGAGCCACTTCTGGCAGAAGCAGGCCACCACTCGAGGACACAATAAGGAGAAGAAAAAGAACAGACTCGAATTCTCGGTACGTGGGTACAGTATTGATCACTCTTGTCCTCCTCCCTTTCTCCGTCCCTCCCTCCCTGCTGCCATTCCCTCTTTCCACCACTTACTCCTCTTCATTCCGCCCCCTCTCCTGCTTTCTCCATGCCTTTATCTCTCTCCCTTCACCCCCCATTCCTTCTCTCTTTCCACCACTCCTGCTCCATCCTCCCTCCTCTCCTTCCCTCCTTGCCCCACTCCCTCCCTCGTTCCCTCATTCTTTCCGTCCCTCCCTCTTTCCTTCCCTCCCTCCCTCCCTCCCTCCCTCCCTCCTCTCTCCCTCCTTCTCTCCCTCCCTCCCTCCATCCATCCCTCCCTCCTTCCTTCCCTCCGTCTTTCCACTACTCTATGTACGAATTCCCTGCTGCTCTCTCTCTCCTTCCCTCCCCCTCCCCCTGCAGACCATAATGCTGTCAGAAGTGGACAAACTGAAACGCCACATTGACCCCAGTCAGGTGACCTTTGACCTCGGTGGTTATCTCCCCTATAGTCATGACGACTGGATAAAGCTGAGATATGTAAGCACAGAAAATCCACTCTGCCATAATGTGTTGTTCGAGGGGGAGACTTGTAATAAGCCGACCCACGGAAGTTCTTTCTCTGCAATGTAATCTGCTTGGTTCTGGAATGAGTTTTCGGAAGTACGTACGAGTGTGTGTACATTGATTCCCTAGATTCTTAAGTGAGTTTTCTCCCCCAGAAGGTTCCCACCATAATATTGTATTGTAACGTTTGCGTACTGAATAACAGTTCGCGACATTCTCGAACTAGTATTTTTCTCCCTCGGGAGGTTCCACTGCATGGTGTGTATTGCAGTGACGAGGGCATTATCTGGCATTGTAGCTCGAGCGTGCCTCCTAATTAATGTTAACATGGTGTGTGTGGTCGTTGCAACGCCTTGATAAACGGAATCTGTCAGTAGGAATGTTACTAAAGATAAAACGAAACAATAGTGCCCAGGTTGCAAGAATGCTTTTCTATTTTTAGTAACAGTTTCTAAATTTAGCCCTTATATACATACCGCCACATTGCCTTTAATTAGGAGTCATGTGTTACCATGGGAGAAGTTGTCTCCATTACGCTATTAGTGTAGTAATCCATATCCCAACTGGCCTACATACACATGTATATGTATATAAGGTTGCTAGGAACTGCAACTTATAACCCTCTGTGATGGCAACTTAACAGTCGGCAAGCAGGGGTTTCCTACAGTTGCCAGATCTCTGATCCCTGACAATCAATTGGACTGCTCATACAGATTTAGCCCCTGGGGACACATTGTCAAGTGCATATGTATCTACTACTGTATGTGTACAATGGTGGATCCATATATTTTCGCACAGCACAATATGAGGAGAAGCATACCCCATAAGAATCATGCTGTACTCTATGAAATTCTCCTGCATATGTATGTATGTGTGTATATACAATGTATGTACATACAATGTATGTACAGTATGAGTCACAAAAAAGTAAACGAAAGTAACGTTACTTCGAAGTAAGGTTACCGTAAAGTTACGTTACTTGAAAGTGACTCAAAGTTACTAACTAGTAACCTGAGCGTAACTTCAGAGTTACCACAAAGTAACCTGAACGTAACTAACTAGTAACCCGAGCGTAACTTCAGAGTTACCAACTAGGAAGCAAGCTGAAAGTAAACTTGGCGGTACACCAACGTTACCAAAGCGGCCCATGTTCCACGCATCACACTCAGCCAATCTTCACGGAAGAATGGGTAGCTTACGGTCTGAGTGTCCGCTGTAGATCCTCGGGCTACATGTCGCTCCCCAGCAGACGGTACAGCGCTGCCCGATAGCTCGGGAAGACGCGCGCGAAGAACCACGCGGCTGGCCGGCCCCGGCCCAGCTCAGCCACGCCCTCTCGACCCGGAAGCACGCGTGTCGCGCGCTGCAGAGTCGCGCTAGAGCCACGGCTAGGCCGTCGGTCGCGAACTGGAAGGCGCGGCCGCGTTACCCAGTGGAGCTAGCCGTGTGTAGACCGAGCGCAACCAAAGAAAAGTTCACAGTAAGGGGACAGAGCTAAGGGCCAGGGCTAAAGACCTTGTTACTTCAGCGTTACTCCACGATAACCTTACAGTGACTAGAAAGTTACTACTCGGTAACTTTACAGTGACTTCAGAGTTACTCCTGAGTAACCTTACAGTGACTTGAAAGTTACTGAAGGTTACTAGATAGTTACTAACGCGTAAGTAACTTCGCAAGTAACGTTACTTTCGTTTACTTTTTTGTGACTCATACTGTACATCTCGATTTTGGTATGCTGCATATGCTTTCCTATGACGAGTGTATAAGTAGAACTTTAGTTTGGGTGCTTGATCTGCATGGGCGAATATGTGCCCCAATAACATTTAATAACTTCGTTAGTCGTTGAACCGCTTTCATTATTGACCTACTTCCCCCCAAACCCACACCTTTCTCATGGCCCGAAATTAGCGTTTTAAAGTGTTTGGTAGCTACGTAGGCAACGACTAATAAATACCTACTAATCAAGTACGGTAGTACTTAGTATATAGCTAGGGATGACACAGGTTGTCCTGCATTATGCCCATACATTTGAGATTTTCATGTTTCACTATCAGTTTCTAACAAACATGTGTACCTGCTAATAGCATTTTGCATTTGGTATGACATGTGCGTCATACGTATGTACACACGCGCACACACACACACCCCCTGGGAACCCCGGCAGGATCTGGAGAGGTTCATAGCGTCATTCAATGCCCTGATGGAGCACACGTCTCACGTGGAGCAGCAGCTGCACATGCAGGGGGCGGAGGGGGAGGGAGGAGACGTGGAGACGGCCGAAGATGCCCTCACTCGCCACATACAGATTCACGACCAACTGAGGAAGGCCCCTCAGAGTACCATCAGGGAGGGCAACGAACTCCTTCGCAGACTTGAACAGGTACGACTGCACCACTTGGCCGTGAGACACGGTGCAACTTTGTTACTTTAGACAAAGTCGCATGCAACTTCAAATGTAGTACTGATGTGATGGGTCCACGCGTAATGGATCATTTCATGCAACTTTGCTGCCATGTCTATCATACCCATACATTCGAAGTTGCATGCATAATATCCCCTACTGTACTATTCTGAAACCTCTGAATACCTCTCTTTGAAACTACTACTACGTGTTAGGTGTATTGCACCTGTGTATACTATACTAGATCGTCCATGTGATTTACTCCTCGACGTGATCAAAATGTAGTACATTGTATATATATACTAGCTGGATGTACACTTTGCGACAGTAACATGGCATATATGGATTAAGCCTGATGATTAGCCATTCATTTCAAGACTATTATGGCACCAAAATGACACCTGCAAAATGCATTACTGACGCATATATGTCCTAGAATTGAATGCACCGCCTTATGACAAGTAAAAATGAGTTTTATTGGTGCATAGAAGCATGTCAGTCAGGACAGTGACATGTGCATAGAATAATTGCTTACTTCAGACGACTAGGTGGGCTTACTTCGCTCACCAATCATCACGTGCGTGTAATGTACTCAGCAATTGTGTCCCCATGCCACCAGGGGAGGGACGAGGGGGGTACGTCGGCCATGACACCAGACAAGATCAACGCAGTCACCGTGATCCGGCGACTCCTGGAGAGTGTCAACAGGAGACAGACCCAGATGGACGACATGTGGAGGGAGAGACGAGCCGTCCTCGAGCAGACCCTGGAACTGAGGGTGTTTGAGAAGGCTCTGCAGAAGGTATTCTCTTCTTGCTTCTCACCCTCTTCTGACTGTATACCTTTTCTGTCGGACTTTTTCTCCTCCTCTCCCGGTTGTAGGCATTGAAATCCTCTTTCGGCCTCACCTTATGCATTACTCTCATCTTCTTTCTTCATTCCCTCCCTCTCTCTTCCCTCTCTCCTTTCTCTCCCTCCCTCCCTCTCGTCCCCTCCTCTCTCTCCCTCCACACCCTGTCTCCCTGTACACATTCATAAATTTTTACATTTTTTCAACAAGCATGGACTGTATGAGTAACCAGCATGCGGACATACACTTGGTGATTGAACTCAGAGTGATTTGGTGAAAGCTAGTAACAAGCAACTGTATGTCACTGACTGCCTCTCTCTCCTCTCTCTCCCTCTCTCCCTCCCTCTCTCTCTCTCTCTCTCTCTCTCCTCCCCGTTCAGGTACGAGGATGGCTAAAGGCCAGGGGAGAGGAAACTCTGAGCTCTCGTAACGACATTGGAGAGGATTTGGACTCGACTCAGTTGATTCAAGAACAACACAACAAGTTTGAGGCCAAGGCAAAGGTTAGACAAAGAACTGTTTTTGTGTACGCATACTTCTTAAAAACGCCTACCTATTTTCTCCTTTTTCCAGTGTCCTGTAACTATATACGTACATAACTGTTGCAAATCAAAAATACCTTTTAAGCATGGTTGGCACGCTATGTTTATTACATGTATACGTTCACAATTTTATGAATTCAGCAACGTTTATGATGAAAGTTCATTCATTGTATGCCATAACCACATTGTATTTGCAGCGTTCTCCTGCTTTGTCGAGTACCTAACTTACGTAGACAACACTATCCATGTCAGTTCTTATGTGCCATAACAGGAAGGCCGTAATGTCTCCGTATTATTGCTGTGCTCCATACAAAATGTGTATTGTGAATTGTGGCCGGGTCTGTAAAAGGTAGAAATTAGTCCACACCTAGATCTTCACGAAAATTATGCACATGTTTTTGTGCTTACCGTAGGAGGCATAAATATGCCACTGTGCATATATAATTGTCGTGTGCTTCCTGCAAAGTCACACATTCAGGGGTGAAGCTAAAGCAAGGAAACTGGTGGTCACTTCCTCTTTCCCCCCTCCTTCGCCCCCCTTCTTATGCATTGCAAAATATGTGTACCCATGCATAGTGGTCATTTGTAAATGAAAGTACTACGTACGTAGCTCATATATTTTCTGGCTAAATCTTGGTGTGGCTGGTCTTCCATATGACAACACTGTGTTCTCTTGTCCTCCTCAGTCAATGTATAACAACCTGACTCAGCTGCGGAGGATGGCCGACAGGTTTGCTGGGAAGAGCCATTTCGCAGCGGACACTCTCCAACGACAGGTCGCCAAGCTGAGTACAAAGTTCAGTCGGTTCGAGAACCATCTTGGCGAGCGGCGCAGGATCGTGGTGGGGTCCCTGAGGTTTCACACCAGCTACAAAGAGGTGCGCGTACGAAATAGTACGCAATCCTTCTCTCTGTACTTTTGTTTACACACATCTAAACTTGTTTATACAGCGGAACCCTTCACTAACCCTTAATACGTAAGGTAACCTTTCCCTCCCCAACCCTGAAATAAGGATGCCCATCTCTAATACAGGCACTTTCTTCTTTACCATTGGTGTCCATATTAGAGGCATTTGGCGCATACTGTACAGTACGTGCCATATATTTAGCCACATGCAGGTTTGTATACATTTGAAAAGAAAAACAACGTTAACACCTCTACCCTATTGTACTCTACCCTACCTATAACCTTACCTACGTACACCATACCTTACAGTTACCGAATTATCCTACCCCACTCTAGCTGATGTTACATTAATGCTCTCTGCGTACAAGTACTCCGTTGGCTTTAAATAACATGTGTACACATGGAGACTGTGTTTTGCACCGAGTTGAATCCCAACTGGGAAGCGGTCAGTTGTGTTTTCCGGAACACCGAGTCTGGTGTTGTTTCCAGTCATATTATTTCCCTATGTTACCTATAAACCTCCCCAAGATAATACCGACATCCCCAAATCTACTGGACTATAGTGAACACTGTAGCTCAAGCACTAGATTTGTACTTGTTTTGATGGCTAGGGTAGGATGGCTACCGAGAGTGAGTATCTCCCCAGCCAATTCAACCTGAAAGTGGTGGCACTGTTTTCTGTGTCATGTGTACAGCGCGCTGCATTGTACCTTCCACGATTCAACAACATTGCTGCTTACATGGAGAAAGAGAGGGAGAGTGTGTGTGTGTGTGTGCATGTTGTTTCTGTACACACTACAACGACATGGACCAATTTTACTGATGGAGTTGAGTGAGTAAATGAGTAAGTGAGGGGGAAAGAGGAAGGTATAGAGGAAGGTGTACATACACAGATAACACACTTCTATCATGTCAAGGCATAAATAAATGGGATTAGCAAATGTACATCATGAATTCACTCAATGTGACATTATGTATGTGAACATTGACAGGGAAGTCTAGTAGTGAGAGTGTGTTGCAAATCTTCATGCTCCCCTTCTCCCCTCCTCCCCCTCCCTCTCCATCCCCTCCCCCTCCCTCTCCATCCCCTCCCCCTCCACCCCCCTCCATCCCCTTTCCTTCTCCCTGGCACGTCAAAAAGTTTCTCTTATTTCTTCCATTCCCTGCGTCTCCAGGTACGACACGCACATTCTGCCCTCTCCCGCGACTTGTGAGAAATCTGGAACCATGTTTCGAGCTGCCACAGGGAGAGTAGCACTGCCCCCCACGGACAACTGATTCATTTTAATGGATTTTGGTAGTGTTGCTGATGTGTGTTGTTTTGTTGTTATTTTTTATTATTTCTTGTTTATGTAGTGTGGTGTTGTGGAGTGTGTGCTTTGTGTGGTGGTGTTGGATTTAGTTGTTATGTCTTACCTAGTTTTTGTGGGTGGGTGTGTGTTTGTTTTTTTTACTTTATGTAATAGTTATTAAGGTTTATGTATTATTGTTTTGTTTAGTGAGATTTTTTGTTGTTTTTTCTTGCTGTTTTTTTTGTTTTTTATTATGTTTTATTCTATTTATTTTTCTTTATTTATATATTTTTTTTGTCTGTTATAGGTGTAGGTATTTTGTTTTTTTGTGGTTGTACTATTATTTTTGGCCTTTTTTTGTATTTTTTAGGTATATTAATTTACTTTTGTACTATGGTTTATTTGTTTACAGTTAATTATGTCTTATCTTTGTTATAATTTTTATTTTTGGTTTCTTTTTTTGTTTATTTAGTATTTTAATTTATTTATTTTTTTGTCCTTGTTTGTATTATGTTTTTACTGTTTAATTAGTTTTTTTTAATTGTTGGTATTTTTGTATTTTATTGTTTTTTTCTGTATATGTAGTTTATTAGTTTTTTTTTAGTTTTTGTATTGTTTTTTGTTTATTTATTTATTGTTGTTGTGTTATTTATAATATTATATTCTGATTATCAACACAAGCAAAAACTTGAGTTGTATTGGTAGAGCTACTTTAGTAGACCTTATGATCTCTACATCGTATTCCATTTATCCATTATAGAGGCGCACCAGCTAAGGCTGCGACATGATGTTGAGACATAGAACCATGGTCTGCTCTATGTTCATCTGGTTGCGTATCCCGTACGGATCCAGTGTTTTTAAAAGTGTGAAATTCCCCAGCTGACCACTAATATAAACTTGGCGCAACGGAAACTCTTTTTTTGTTGAGTTGGGTCGAAGGTAGGTGTTCGATGCAAGATCATATCAACCACCAGCAGAGCAATCTGCAATTGGTCGCCACGGCACGCAAAAAATCTAGCATCTAGAGTACAGCAATCATCAGCTTGAGTCTTCTATTTGATGCACACTCACCTCGGCCAGCGTTCCATTACTAGCAGCTTCCTGGCTATTCTTTCTTCTCCATAACTTAGTTTACCTATTGCATGCCTCCTTATTTATATAATATATCCTAGCCGTTTCTACGCTCAGATTGCCTTTGGTTACGAGATTAAACGGTGGACAGACTATGGATGGGACCTTACACACTATCAGACCATATTTACAATAACCTCTCGACTGCGCATGCGAGTTAACAAGGACTCCCTAGTGTTCTATCCGACTGTTGACAAACTTCTACCCACATCCATATGATGGTGTTACGGTTATTAAGTTCGAGCTGTGTAAGGCGAAGCGGTCATGTGACTGCGAACAATGAAAATTTACTGAAGGGTAAGGAGATACATAACACATCTTTTACAACTTTCCTATTATATCTATATGTGTAGCGTACAACCTACTCATGCATTACCTCTATGCTGCTAAGAAAGGAAAGGTAACCATCTTCTCCGAGATGAGATATGAAATCAGAGACTCCAATCCAAGTTTCATATGCCTCTGGATTACTAGAGTAAGAAGTCTGTAA